TAATGTGTTTATTTTGATTGTATTTAATCAGGATTATAGTTTACTGAGACAAAATAATCACATACTAAATCCAGATTATGATTATGTGAGCAAGATTATGATAGACTATGTGAAAATAATGCTTCCATATAGCACTGTGGTAATCTAAAACATGTCTTTTAATCATTTATTTGGGAATTTGTGGATTTTAGCACTTTTATATTTACACATATATAGTATTTTATAGCTTTTATTGCAGTATGTTTACATTTGACAACTTTTGGGCCAAAAAAATAATAAATAACAAAGAGGCTTCAACATTATTTCTTATTCCTGATCGAGTAGATATATTAATAAATAAAATATGAAAATTCCAAGTATGCCTTAATAAAATACCCATTTTTAGGTTTCTGGTTAAAGCTGTCTGAAGGAGATGTTGCATTGGACTGTAATGCAATTTTAAGATATTTCTATTTTGCTCCTCAGATCCACCATACATGTAGTAAATGACCTTTCAAATGATGTACAGTCCAACACAACAACACCATAAAGTACATCCTAAATAAAGTTGAGTCAAAAACACCAACAACAAGAAGATATTTATTTATTTATTGCATGGCTGTGACCTCATCTGAACTCTTTCTGTCACTCATAAAACTCTAAATATGGTATCAGCCATGTTTGAACGAGGGCTCAAGAGCAGTCTCTTAATGAGTATTTGTAACATCTGTGAGCTGATGGGAAAATGACGGGGTGGCCGCTGTCTGCACATCAAAAGGACCAAGCAGCTTACCAGCAGTCTACTGAGACCACACTGATCCTGTTACTATAAACAGTCTGAAGCTTCTGTAAAGGTATTTTGTAGAGTAGAAAGTAAGGAAGAAAGTCTCGTACCGTGCCACAACAAGTGTATGAAGATTTATAGTTTGACCCCCCCTTATTGAGGACCAGGTAGCTGAATATTTGGATAAATCACAGAACTGATTTATTCTCTTAAACCAAATCAAAGGCCTGTTTTAGATTTTAAATGAAGTCTAATTAAAGGTGCAGTGTGTAACATTTGGGAGGATCTATCGGCAGAAACTGAACATAATATTCATGACTATGTTTTCATTAGCGTATAATGGCCTGAAAATAAGAATGATTGTGTTTTTGTTACCTTAGAATGAGACGTTTTTATCTACAGAGGGAGCAGGTCACACTAGATACTACACTGACACTAGATAGGGGCCTTTTTGTGTTTTTTATGACCACTGTAGTTTCTACTACATGCTTGGAAGTCTGAGCTGTATTCAAATGGTTTTCAGTAATCACCACTAGATGCCACTGAATCCTTCACACTGGTCCTTTAATTCAATTTAAGTCATGGTTCAGATAGTGTGAAATTAAGAAAGTACATTTGGGGAAATATCCTTTCAATTAAGTTCCTAACTGATAGATAATATCTTCTATAAAAAAAGTTGTTAGTTGACTGTTCTGTTCACCTTGACAAAATCCTGGCTACTGACCTAATAAGCAGAACAATATTCAGCCACTACTGGGGGGGGCTCAGTCCATTGGGATTTAGCTTGGGAACCAGGATGGAGTGTGGATTGGTAGCTGGAGAGATGCCAGTTCACCTTCTGGGAATGGCTAAAGTGCACTTGAAGCAAGGCACTCACCCTCTAACTGCTCCCAGGGTGCTGCTACATAGCACGCCATCACTCCACCATCTCTCTATATTTGCATAAATCCTAAATGTGTGTGTGTGTGTGTGTGTGTGTGTGTGTGTGTGATTGTATTTTGGGCCCATGTGTGTAAAGAAATTAGTGTAGAAAGAATCAGGGATCAATAAAGCACAAGCTGGACATTCATCTCACCAAACTGGTTCCTAACTGGTTTCTAAAATCATTTATAAATAAGTCGTTAGTTGACTGTTCTGTTCACCATGTCAGCAGCACAGTGAACATCTGTACAAGAGAGAGTGAACATACATTAGGTCAGGTTAATGAGGTAAAAGATCTCTGCAGACTACAGTGTCAATACTCAAACTGAGAGTGGAACAACTTTGGTAAAGCCAACCTTCTGGAGAACGCCTTCACAGAAGTATTCAGAAGAGTTTATTTATTCAAGCAAGAGAAATTATACTTTATCTTGATTTCCACAAGCAGATTAAATGACCCGTGAGTCGCTGTAGGGATGGCTTGATAAATGTATGAAGACTTTCACCTTAATGACAGACCAGCTATCCAGAAGAATACAGAGAACCTCATATTCTTGGTTACATGAAAATCTTTTAGGACCACAAAATACACAGTAGATATGAAGCAAATATTTATATCTCTGTTGAAAGACTATTAAAATCATCTGAGCAGAAAGAATTGCCTTGTCTGCACATTTCCTTTCAGTTTATGGCCTCAGTTAAACCTTTATTAAACCTCAGATACAGTGACCTCTAGTGGCAGCTGGATATAAGACTGAAACACTGGCTTGCTTTTAACTGAGGATGCACTAATCTGTTCATGAGATGGGATTTATTTGTTAGTTTATGATCATCTCTCTAAACTGCAGATAAAGGCAGAACAACAATGTGAACGTGTTTATACAAACTAACTGATGGAGGAGGCTGGTTAACATACAGTATACTCCAAACTGTTGCCATCCATCCTCATACAGCAAATGGTTTGAATTATGCCTTTAGAGAATAATGTTAGTTGTTCTGCTTAGGTAGATGACAAAAGAGATGCATCCGTGGTCACACTGATGATTTATCCAACACATGCATCCTGGACCTCCTGTCAATGTAGCAGACTTTTCAAATGCTCAACAGATCATTTTTTATTCATGAATTACTTAAAAGTTGTGAAAAATGTCAACTCCATTTTCTAGAGGTGACATTACAAAATAGTTTTGTCTGAACAGTCCAAAGATATTCCATTTAAAGTGATGTAAAACACAGCAAATAGACACCTTTGAGGCTGGAACCTGAGAAGGTTTGGCATTTTTGACTGATAAAATACTTAAAAGATTGATTATCAAAATGGTTGATGATTACATTTTCTTCTACTATTGGCCAATACCTGTACAGCATCTAGTTCTACAAATGTGATTATGTCTACCAGGTCTGAACACAAGAGATGATTCCCTTTATAATAAAAGAAGCAAACACTAAGACACAGCAAGAGAGTATTGTTTGTATGTTTATTTAAAGTTATTCCCACTGCGCACCCCCCCCCCCTCCCCTGTGTGAAAGCCTAGTCTGAAAGGAGGAGGATACAGGCCACTATAGTGCCACATCAGCACATTTATTAACAAGGCTACTTGTTTAGTCACAACACATCCACCCCCCACTGGTATGGCACTCTGTGCTGCCCTGTGATGACACACTAGCATGGTGAGGCTAGTTCAAATGACCCCAGGAAGAAAAAAGTCCAATAAGAGACGGGGCTGAAATTAGAGAGTGAGTATCTCCAATTAATGAATAAAAAAAATGAGGCAGTATTACTAAATGTCAAGTTCCACAGAGGAAAAATATGGGGCGGATGATGGTGAGAGACAAAGAGAAAATATTCAATACAAAGTATTCTCTCTTGTCCCCTGATGTGGCCGCTGATCCGCAAGGCGTGCTTTGATGATGTCACTAAAGTTGAATGTTGAGGCTTGTGATCGTGAACCCCCCCCAAGATTCACAGCGTGGTCGTCGTCCTTCTCCAATCAATGACGCAGTTCCTCTCTCCTCCTTCCACACAAAAATGGATGGACTGGGAGAGAGAAAACGACGAGTTAAATACAGATTGAGAATGTCAGCATGTGTTGTGTCATTGAGGGTTATTTACATAAACAGGGAAAAATACAGCAAGGGTGGCTGTCAATCTAACAGGCTCAATTATTCACACACAGCAGATGCCAGATGTGACCAATTTTCTCCCTGTGTTGTCTAATAATTGTGTTTTTGTACGAGTACGCAGAACAACTGCCATTCAAACTCAGCAGCTGCACAAGGAATGAATGAGTTGTTACACAACAGTTAAAATGCAGCCATTTTCCATTGAATAAGTGGCCTCATAGTGAACTGTTCATAACATGTACTTTCGGTTATTCAAAATGATGGGGACATTTTTTACTGAGTTTGTATTGGCAGGTATCTCCAACTGAAACTCATCTGGTCAGATACAACTACAGGTTAATGAGAAAATGTGTTCATTTTGGGGAATACAGCCCTTTAACAGGACCTAACATGCCATTTAGTCAGGACAAACCACTGACTGAACTACACAATGACACAATTGAGTTTTCCCCAATACATATTAATTGTGTGTTGGACATATTAAACCGTCTGCATGCCTGTGTGCAAGCGTTTCACCTGCGTAGGGGACTACAGATCTCCAAGGGGAATGATTTCTTCGCTGATAAAAAACTCAATGGTCTCCTCCTCCCAGTCTTCCACGTTGCTGTCCCGCTCATCAGTATCCACTCCTGGAAGTAGGAAACATATGTCAGCCATTTTTCTTAATTAAAGAGTTACTGTGGAAAGGAGGCAAGTACAGGTACGGTGTAGAAAAGTGAGCGTGTGTCCCACCTCCTCTGAGTTCGAGGCGGAGGTCCTTCTGTTCCAGATAGGTCTGCTGCGCAGTCTCCCTGTAGCGATGGTAGTCTTCCATCATAGACCTGCGCTTGTCCACCAACTCCTACTCGCAAACACACCAAAACAACAACATTCAGCTTCATAACAGAGAATAATGTTAGGGTTTGTAAACATGCAGCTTGTTGTATTGCTTTTATTACTGAAATATGTAAAATATAGATATGAACAGCGTGGGTCAGTTAAAGAAATGAACAGGTCAAACCTTAGAAGCCTTGGACTGGCTCAGACGATCCTTCTGCTCAAAGATCTTTGAGTATTTCTTAAGATCCTTCTTGATCAGCTGAAAAACACACATGGGGTATTTACTGTGAAGAAAGTTTCCACGGCTTCAAATCAAAAGTAAGACAAACACAACATCAAGCACGTGTTGCACCAGTACACAGGGCGTTGTAGTTGTGAGCCTCAGATCAGAGTTAGAATCAGGAGCCACATTGCAGCTCTCATACGAGGTGTCAGAAAAGTTATTTAGTTTGTCATCATTGGCTTCACACACACACACACACACACACACACAAATATAAATATATATTAAGATAAAATGGTACCTTGATCTGGTCTGCGCTGAGCAGGGTGGGAGGTCTGGGTCTCCAGAGCAGCTGACAGAAGCGGTCCTTGTTGTTCTTCTGAAGAAGACGTCCCTGGAACGTCCACAACCAGTATGCATTGTCCACCTAGACACACGTTAAAAAGGTGGAGTAAAAGGACGTAAGTTAATGTTGAATTCAGTGCGAATTGCCATTACCCAATATTGGTGAATCAGTCGGGCAAGAAAGGGAAAAGTAAAAGAGTATTTCTGGCGTCATAGAGCAGAACGTACCTTGTGACTCCACCAGGATACGGAAGTGACGACATAGCGACCGGTCGGGTCCCACTCCACGTCAGAGGCCATGTAGTGCTCGGCTATGTTCATCATGGTGCAGTCTGACGTATCCACAAAGGCGAGAGCTCCATTCATGCTACACACACACACACACACACAAAAAAGATATTGGACCCATATACTTAACCTTCAGCAGAGCAGACACACAAGTGCAAATGTATATTACTGCAAGCCTCAGATCAGAGTTAGAATCAGGAGCTTAGCTCTCATACGAGGTGTCAGAAAAGTTATTTAGTTTGTCATCAACGGCTTCTCATGTGTGTCATAAACACAAACACAAACATTTAACTGACCTCCTGAGTCCGGCCAGCACCAAAAACTGTCCCTGGGGGCTCCAGAAGATGCTGTTAGCCTGCTGCTTGTCAAACATCTCTGTAGAAAAAGGACAAAGTGTCACATTCAGTAGAGGTTTATGAAGGCGCCCCAAGACTTTGCAACATTAATGTTAAAAAGGACTTTTAGGATGTTTTTCCGATCTACTCACTTATGAGCTCGATCTTGCCGTTGTTTTTGACATGATAGAAGGAGACACTGATTCTGGGAACCTCTCCATGGAGAACGGCAAACTTGCTGCCGTTGGGTTCCCACGCAAATGCTATGATGCTTTCTGGAAAGACAGAAACACAACAAACAATAGATTAGGGTTTTATTTTTTCTATGGGAAACAATCGCTGTTACTTTGTGCGTTTACCATGTTCTTACCCTTCATTTCCACCACATCAACAGGAACCTGCTTCTCTCTCATGCGGAAGATTTCAAAGTTGGTGACCACCCCCTAAAAAAAGATTGAAAAATGTATTTGTAGTTAGATTCTTTTTATTTTTTTACCAGAGAGGTCTCCACTGTTCCCCCTCTCTTTCTCTCCACACACACACACACCCACCTGTGTTCCTTTAGGAGTCCTGTCCACTTTCACACACAGGTAATCTCCATTTCTCTGCCAGTGCAGTTTGCAGTCGACAACATTGAAGAGGTTGCGGACACGGATCTCCTGGCGGGAAGGCATCTGCATCAGAGTCACTCTGGCTGGGATGTCTTTGTCCTCAGGTACCCAGAATGCTATGATGTTGTCACCAGGAGACCAGGAGAAGTCCCTACAGACAGACACAGAATATTGTCAATGTCTTTTTCTAGAATGCGGTCACAATTTATAGCATGTAATGGCAAATCATTAACAGCTTTATCAAGGACACTTACTTGATCCCGGTAATCTTGAGACTCTTCTTGTCGAGCAAGCCCATAGACTGAAAGGAGGAGAAACACGGCATTAATGTCACTTTCCCACTTAACATAAATACAACTATGGGGTTTCTTTGGTAGTCCTTAGTACTTACTGGAGTCTCATAGATGCTCAGTGTGTCTGTGGTCATCCTAGCAAAGAACTTCCCATCATGGCTCCACCTGAGAACAAGTGTGTTACATTATAATATATTAAATCACTGCAGGAAGTAAATTAGATTGTGGCAACGAGAGAGAAAAAGGACAGAGTACTGACTTGAATATGGGCCAGTGTGCAGAGCTCTCGCAGTGGAAACCTCTCTTCTTCTGTCCGGTCAGAATGTCCCAGATGATGATGGCCTGCGGGTCCTCCTTGGTGTCCATCAGTGGACTGAAGGTCACCACGTACCTGGAAGGCATCACAACCACACATGGAGTTTCAGACAGCTCGGGAACTGCACAGTTCATGTAACACTATCCAGCATCAATAATTTAATGTTCCCCTCCACACAAAAAATGTGTTTTTCATACAGTTGGATGTTTGAGCTTCACTGTGCAAAAAGATGATGAATGTGCAGAGGTTGAAACTAGAAGGATCACATTCATCTGCTGAAAGTGGAGCTCAGTATGCAACTTATAAATTATTTCCACTGGTTTTCTTTCTTAATAAAGAATTCTGCACACTGACGCAGCTGCAAATTGATAAAGTCACTAGTTAAAAACCATCCGTCTCTGCTGCATTAAAAAGAAAACATCTCTTGCATTTCAAACTGAGCATCAATTCACTCAAAACTACCTGATGCTGTGATTACATACACAGTAAAAGCACTTCATCAGCTAATGACTAAAGCTACAATAGTATCGATAAATACCGCAGAACAGAAACGTTGCTTACCTCTCACATGGTGAGAAGTCGATGAGGGACACACCCTGATGGCTGAACCTCTGAATCTGCTTGAACTTCTCACCGCCCCACAATGCAATGCCACGTTGGTGGAAGGTGGCCAGGTAGGTGCCTTTAGGAGACCAGCGCACGTACGTCTCTGTCCAGCGCTGCATCAAGACACAAAAACGGTTATTAGTTTTTAATGCATTCACTTACAATGCGACCTCAGCCGGGAATTTTAAAGTGTGATCAGCTGCTTACGGCTCTCTCTTCAGCTATGATCGAGTCCTTGGCATCGTTGTTGAAAATGGCAGTCCTCTCTCCGGCTTCGTAGATCACACTGTACTGATCACGACAGTCTTGGTCCTCAATCCAATGGCGCATATTTCCCTGAACAGAGAGACATACAGTTAGTGAAGCCTCTATAGGATAATAAAAGGGCAAACCCTCAAATTTTTCCTAAACTGAAGCAGAACAAAAAAAGCCTGCATAATAAAATACTTATGATTAACACTTACAAAATCTTTGAAAGGCTGCTTCTCTGGAGTTTCCCACTCATCACTGATGTTCATGTACCTGGGATAACAAACAAACAAACAAAGTTAATCTACTTGTCTCACATACATCTGCCATTGCAGTTACGGTCTTCCTCATCAGACACTTACTTGTCAAAGTCAGTGAAGAGGTTGACTCTGAATGTATGTTGCTTGTCGAGTTTGTATCCATCTGCATTCTTCACTGCCTCGAGGGCCTGGGTAGGAGCAGCATACTCCAAGAAGATGTACCTGGGTGAGATGTAGGTCATTTTTTTATTAACATTCAATTCAAATTTAAGAGCAGTATACTGCCATAGAGGAGCAGAGAGGCAAAACACATACCCTTTGGTCAAACCGTCGGCATCTGGATAGAACTCAGTGGTGATCTTGCCGAACTTGGAGAAAATCTTGTGTATGACATTCTTGAGTTTCTCCAACCGCTCTGGGCCCACCTGAGGGACGTTGTCCACCACCACCACCGAGTCTATGCCATCAGCCTCCTGGGGCTTCTCCCTGAGGATGTCACCCAGGAGCTCTGAAGAGGAAGAGAAAGAGGGGTGGGACGATCAGGGAGGGAACAGTAACGTTATCCCTCATCTGAACTGCTTCTGTGTCAGCATGGCCTTCATGCCCCAGTGACTCTCAATTTAATTCAAACTGCCTTCATAGGACAGACTGAAAGATAGACAGGGAACATGGGGAGAGGGCTAGAAAGGGTAATGCAATCTAGTGATTTTGAGGGGTGTTAATCCAACTTTAAGGATATTTTGAAGGCTGTAGTTTGTGGTGTAGTCTAACATCATTAATTTTTACTGAGGTGTACAAAATGAGGACTCAAACAGTGATACAGTGCAGTTCAACAGCACCACCACCAAAACGACCATACAGTTATTATAGACCTCACATAAAAGCATTTACTATCACAGGGCTACAGATGATCTAACACAGTTACAGCAGACACATTTCCAGCCCTAGGTGGCATCGTGGATCCGGCTCCCCTCCATCCTCGGTTATGGTTAACGTTACTCTTCATTAGCAGCTGCTGAGGTCGTGGCCTTAATGGTCCACTCAGAAAGCCAGCGACAGAAAACGTTTCCCAATACTCAGCTACCCTTATTGTGCTGATTCAACTCTACAGATGACAGCGACAAGGCCACGGTGAGTGGCGGTCTGGGGGTCTGGGTGAGGCTTCAATGGGCGTGAAGTTACACGGTGGTAGCATCGGTTAATGTTAGCTAAAGTCGGGGGGGCAACGTTTAAGGGAAATGAGGACGGTAATGTTTTATTTTTAATAATCGGAGCTCAACGTTTAGACACCGAGTTCCGGTACGCCAAGTGACCAGCACGGCCGTTGAGCGCTAAGCTAACTGTTAGCAACAGGCCAGAAAGCCGGCGCGTTTCCTGCCGCCGCTCACCCTCATCATCAACGTCATCCTCGAAGTCCTCCGGGTCGCTGAAAGAGGGCTCCTCTTCGTCATACTCGGGGTCGTCCACCATATCCACCGTTTCTTGCATTTATCAGGATCACGAGACGGAGTTCTCGCTACGACAGGGCAAAAGATCGAGAGGCTGACGGTTCGTCGGCCGGTGCGGCACCATGTGCGGATTACGTGAAAATGGACGACGTGACGGAAACGCAGCACCGGAACTTGTTCTGAGGCGACGGCGCGCGGCGGGGAGGCGTCGGAGTTCTAGAACGTGGGGATGGGCGGCGGGTGGCTGCCCGCGCATCTACTTCAACCCATCCGGCTGTTTACAGATCTGTGAAAAGCGCAGGTGTCCCTTGTTGTGACTCTCCCGGATGTGCGCCGAGAGAAGAGAAGAGGAAGGGAAGCCGCGCACCGGTAGATTCCGAAACTATTTCCCGCGAGATGGACGTTCAGCACGAACTACAAGGGAGGGAACTACATGTTGTTTGTTTTTAGCTTGCTGTAGTTTCATTAAACACGACATAAACTTCCAGATGTATCTCCAGATGTGTCTCCAGATGTGTGAGTCGGTGTTGCTTCCATGGTAACCATTTAAGCTGTTATTAGTGAGCGGGCTGCTGTAATGTATCCCGAGGGCCCATTAACACACACACACGTTAGCACCATGGACAGAGAGTGTGTGTCGCTGCTGCCCGGTGTGTGTGAGGTGCTGGCGGACTCGGGGAGCTCTCTGCCCGATGACACCAGCCTGGAGAAGCTGTTGGACTGGTTCACAGGGCTCACCAAAGCTGGTCAGTGCTCAACATTGGTGGGATGGTTTTGGTTTTGGTTATCCGTCGTTATTCTTCCCACAGGTTTCTGCTGTGTGAGCTTTTAGATGTGTTTTAAAGTTGTAATCCTGCTAAACAACCACCATTTTTTTTAATTAAATGGATTACAGGTTATATAACTGAATATACTAACTAACTAAATGTAATCCATTACTCCTCAAGCCTGCACCCAGGTAAACTGGATGGACACAAGACTGGGCAAAGTCACCCTAAACCCTCCGAATAAGTGCCACTAAATCATCATATGAACTAAAATAACGATCATTTTGATCTGCATCTAAAGAATCTCCAGATTATTTTATTCATTGATTTGATTCTGTTTATTATCTCGCACTGATGGACTGTTTTATGTAGTATGTTTACTCTATCTGTATCTACCTGCCCAGGGATTACATATGCAAATGAACTGTTAACTAGCTCTTTTGCAAGTACTTTTAAATGTTTGCTGTCCCTGCAAAAACAGTACAGTACATTTCTCACATTTGAGAAGCTGGAACGAGATTGTTTGGCATTTTTGCTTTATATTTGATTAATTGATACTTTTTCTGTCAATCAGTCCATCGGCTAATTGTTTCAGGTCTAAACTGAATTGCTTAGACCTTGAGAGCCGCATTGTGTAGAAGAGAGGCCCCTGTTTCTCATGTGTAGTCTGGCAAAGGTAGAACGATACACACAAAATTCATAAGCGTGAGAGGAACGAGGGGATCTCAGGGGTTATACTGCAGCTGTGGATCGATAGGTGGATATTAGATCTGCACCACCGTCTCATGTCCATCTTCTCTCCTCATGAAGGGGGATCTCTGCTGGAGGCGTGCCCGTGTCTGCTTGAATTCATATCCGCTGTGGTTCACAACACAGCCTCAGACCCCGGCGTTCTCTCCTTCACTCTCAAACTCACCGGCTTTATGGCTTCCACTGAGAACGGCTTCAAAATGCTTCAGGTAGAGTTAATGACACCCTGTGCTTTTACTGAATTGCTACTAACAATTTACGACTTGACTTGATGCCCTCTCTCTTCCTCCAATCACTGCAGGAATGCGACGTTCTGGACCTGGTCTTCAACCTTAAGCGCTGGCAAGAAGCAAGACTCTGGGAGGATCCTTGTTTAAGGATTGGCTGGATCCAGGGCTTAAAGAACTTGCTGCAGCACCCAAAGGCTCTCAGTTTCTTTGTAAAATCAGGTGACACTTCCTGTAGGAAATGAGACCATCTCTCGTTATATGTTGCATATTTTTTATATACGACAATTTGATAAGAGGGAGGCAGGCCACTTTATGACTGAAATCTCTTTTCCTAACTCCCCAGATTTTATTGAACCGCTCCTGCAGCTCCAGACAGACACGAGTCTATTCGTGGCCTCAGCTGCCAATCAAATGCTCGCCCACATCCTGCTCTTCTTCCAGCCAGTCTTGTCTGCGGGATGTAACGGCGTAGATGAGAAAGAAGAGGAAGATGGGAGGACGCAAACCTCCACCAGAGACTTAGAACATCCAGCCGTCACCATGGACACCGCTGCAGAGTACTCTCCTGTTGTCTCGGCAATCTCAGAGTACCTCAAGGAGTCCTTGGTTCCCAAAGAAAGCACACAGCTCCATCAGAGTCTGCAGATCCTCAAACTGCTGACCCTGCTTCTGGCCCAGGCCGGCCCTCCTCTCCGGGACAAGCTGCTCCAGGCAGTCTCAGATTCTTTGGAGGAACTGGTGACAGCAGGCTGCAGTCAGCTCACACTGCCGCTGATGGACGTCATTCTAGCTGCACACAGGTAGACTGGCTATCTCACACAAACACAGTGTAAGATGGGCAATAACAGGTGAAACTGCAGTAATATACTCCAGTACAACAGTCATCAACAGTCATTGTCACAGATCCCAAACACATTTTAAAGAAGTAATCAAGAATATATAATGTAACAGGCTAAATTACACTTTTCACGTGTTTAAACAGAAAATAGACGATGGAATAAAGTAGCTCATGTAACTGTTAGTGCCACTTATAGGGAGGTAAAAGCTCCACTTTGATAGAAACAATTTTATTCCACTGTGTAAAGGAAGCTGGAGTTCAATAAAAAACAATGTGTTTCTCTTTATGACCACAAAGATAATTCAGATCTGTGACTTTATGGCACATTTCTACAATTCTGTCCTGCTCCGGACGGACAGAAGGCACCTTCCCCTTCGGAGTAACTCAAATATAACAATTAAAATAAAAGTGCTAATTTTAATACTCAATAATTTTATTTTATAGTTTTCTAAAACTGAAAGTGGAAAGTTTCTCTGTGTTAAGTGAATATCTAATTTTTACATCACAAATAGTTTGCCAGTATGCAACTTATACTATTTGTATATGTTGTAATCTTTTAAGAGATAATTTTTCCTCAGCTGTACATTTACAGAGCACCTGCTGTGTAAAGTTAATGAAAACAGATAATGTTACTCTGATATTAGCGCAGATATAAGCCCTTTATAAGTATACTGGGTGGGTTCTGTGTTAAACACTGTCGGTGTTTGTCTTCTGCAGCTCTGGCACTGATGGACGCGTCCCACACCAACGTGTCACCCGTCTGCTATCATCCATGTTGAACATTAACAGACCCTCTGACCTCATTCCTGCTGCAGCTGCTTGTCTTCGCAGAGGTCACCAGTAAGCAGCCGTTCACTGCACGACTTCACACTCTCATACAGAATGTGGTTTCACCATCACCAGTACAGTTTGTAGAGGTTTTATGACATCAGGTTGTTTAAGAAAACCATCATTTGCAGTATTTTAATTCCCATTTTCTTCCTTTCCTGTGTTTCTGTCCAGTGATACCGTCCACACAGCCCGGGTTGTGAAGATACTGCTGTTACCCCTTGACATTATAACTGGTCAGCCTCTACTGGGCGCGGACACCACTGGTAAAACACACAGATATACACAATAAAGAAATAATTAACTTAGTCTGTTGTTTCGCAGCTTTACAACTAAATATATTTTTAAACCTGCAGCAGGCGAGCATCGGTTTTCCGTGTCGGAGCTGCTGAAGAGAAAAACCTCCTGCATCTCTGTGATCTGTGTCTGTCTGACAAACACACCACAGATCACACTCACGGTGAGGCTGTCAGGACAACCGAAAACAGAGGAGAGGAAGTAGACTGTAGTTTTTAATGTGAAGCAGAATTAACATCTCTCTATGTTTCCCCCTCAGCCTCCCGAGGACCTCCCCTGTCCTCCAGCTGCAATTGTCACCGCAGTTCTGTCATTGTTAAGGATCTGCAGTGGCGTCTCCTCCTCCTCATCCTCCTCATCCTCCTCATCCACTGGTTGTAGTGGGGTCTGCAGGAATGTAATCGGCAGTGGAAAAGTTCAGAAATGTGCTTTAGAGGCTCTAGCAGCTCTCAGCAGCAGCTCAGGTAAATCTGTGCATGTATATGTGAGATGATCCAAAATGTTCTTTCCTTTTTTTATCACTTTAACTTAAGCTTGATGGAAAACTATATTGGAAAGATAGCCACATTACCAACAGACTTTAAATGAATTAGGAAATATAACATGAGGTATGACATTATAAAGGTCTACTGTATATTAATCAAACTCAAGTAAATACTGTAAACATACAGCGGAACTGTACAGCACAGTATATTAATTAAAAATATAAGAAAATATAAGATAAGATAAAATATCATCAAAAACAGACCTGAAAGCAAAATGCTGCAGCATATGAGCATCATGATATATGTGTTGTGTGTGACAAAGTGTTTTTCAGTGTGAGACATTTAGCGTGTGTCCTCCATCTCGTGTGTTTCAGGAGCGAAGGAGAAGATCAGTGAAGTGTTCACAGTTCTGATACAATATCTGGTCAATCCTGATTCTGACCCGACTGTAAGTTGTGTGTGTTCCTGTCTATGCATACGACTTATATTTCATTTAGTCACTGATCTTCTACTACAGAGGAGAGGTGACTTAGAAAAAGACGCTATCACACATTGATTGTTTTAACCTGCATGTTAAAACAGATCTGAGGGATACATAAAAAACATTTTGGGAAAAAGCTTAAATATTTTAAGTAAAGTGCAGAATTTAATAAAGTAGTAAGTAATAATATTGTAGTTATGTAACTTTTAATTGTAGTTTTAGAGCTTTTTAGCCACTGAACAGCTCCTCCATATCTGAATTCATTAAAAGCCACAATGAGATAGATGGAGGGTTATTTACTGTAGCTGAAAAGATCTCTAAAGCATTATCTATCTTGTGTTGTTTTCTATGATTGAAACAGCTCTGCCTTTGTTCCTTAGGTACTCCACAAGTCCTACCAGGCCTTAGTAAAGTGGATGAGTGTGTGCACAGATCTTTCTCTTATAACAGACCCACTCAGACAAGGTAAAGTTCACTAGCAGCATCTTCATTAAAGTTCATAAATACTCTACTGTGTGATGAATCCAAACACAGAACCCACTCTGCCGTCTATATAACGTCTTACTGGAATTATCTATGTGTCCCCATCAGATCTCGTGACGGTGGTGAAGAAGCGTGTGTGTGACATGCGTTGGGAGGTGAGGGACTCAACGGTGGAGTTTCTGGGACACCTGGCAGGAGTGCGTAAATCAGCTGAGGACACATGCGACGCATCTGAGGCGCTGCTGGGCGGCTGCTGTACGGCTCCTCTCCTGAAGGAGGCGCTTCAGGACACAGAGAGTTACGTGAGAGCCAGCGCCATCTCTGCACTGGCAAAGACACTGGCACACAGCTGGCAGCAGGGGGCAGCGCTCAGTCAGGAGGAGGTAGGCAGAAGTTGTTTCACATTTGACTCTTGCTGTTTCGGGGGATACTGAGTCAGATTTTTTTTCTGTCGGTTATGTAAGATTTTAGATGATTTAACATCAGCTGCTACTTTCTTTGGACTATTCTCACACATAGATGTTGAATGAGTGTTTGATTGTAGCTTAGTTTGGAGTCTCATCAGACTTTGAGTAGCGTATTAAAGTTGCATAGCTCATTGCTGGATTTAAAGGCAGACCACCCAAGAGGTTGCAAGATAAATCAGAGGGGTGGTGATGATTGCCACACAAAATGTTATCCGTTTAACATCATCAGGACTGAAAACATTAACATATTTACGAAGAAGTCTGTTGATTGATTTTTTTATAACTCCTGTATGTGCTCCTTATTTTTAATAATTTCCACAATTATATTTCCTACCCCATGTCTTGTCCCTGAAATAATAATATAAGGACTTTCTTGTTGCCATGTACCAATCCTTTCCTTAAAAACCTAATAAAAACTTAAATGCTGTTCCACACTGTTATTTACGCTCAAAAATAAACTTACGTACTAACCTGTGTAGGTATAATGTTTTCAGCTGGCTGCAGTAAAATGGTAATTATAATCTTCTCTTTCCTTCCAGACTGAAATAGTGAGCCGACTGCTTGAAATTCTCTCCCAGGACACAGAGGGATTCTCCAGGAGAGCCGTTGTACAATACTTCATCGCCTGGTTCTCTTCACGCCACTCACAGTCTTCGTCATCCACCTCTCTCCTGACGCAGAGCGTACGCTCCGTCCTCTCGCACGGCAGCGCAGATCTGGACTGGGAGGTCAAAGTTTACACGCTGGAGCTGGCCGAGCTGCTGCTGGACGAAGCCTTTTCAGGTCAACGTGGCTACAGGAGGGGCTCAGACACACACACTGCCGTATCACACCCCTATGGTGTAGTTTCTGACCAGCCGTACACACTTCACACTCACTCCAGTTCACACACAGAGGGTGCGGCGTCAGATTTGGCGCGAGCGTTGAGCGATCTGGTTGAACAGGGAGTCATCTCAGCGCTGTTGAGTGGTCTGGTTGACTGCGATAGACCCGTGGGCCTGAAGGCCTGTCGACTGCTGATAACACTCAGAGAGACAGTATGCCCTCTGTCGCTTGGGGCACTGGATGCTGCCGCGGCAACAGTTGCCAAGGTGTCCTGTGAACTGCCTGGCTGGGGCTGGGGGATGGAGATCAGGAAGATACTGGGGATGAAGAAGAGCGATGGGACCAGAGGGGCGGAGATCGCAGTGAAGAGAAGTTTGAACGGAGCGGAGGAGGTTGATTGTAAAGACTGCGGTGTGCCGGAGGAAGGAGGCGACGGCGTGATTGTCGGCGTGTGCGAGGTGTTGACGTCTCTGGGTTTAGACGAGAGGCTGGACGTCCTGACTCAAAGCAGTGACCACATCCACAACTCTCCCCTGTCTCTCCTGCAGGACATTCTCACTGCGAGTGCCGCTCGCACTCAGCCACACACACAGCCAGGGCAAGAGGTCATAGTGGACTGCTACTGAAACACACACACACACACACACACACATACTGTGCCTTTTGTTGGTTTGATATCAACAACACACTCTCAACTCGGGTAGCAGGACTCGCCAAACTCTTTCTCATATCGCCATGTCCTGCGAAATCAACGATGTCTGTCACACATTGATTTTAATTCATTGTTGTAAATAAATATACGGATTAATCTTGGTGTAAAATGGTGCCATTTCTTTGGACCAGCAGCTTCGTTCTGATACTGCTTCCTCTAAATCTATGCGGTCAAACTTATTTTACAAGTATAATGCAGTGTCAAGGTTTAGTAAAAGATGGTGAGAAATGTCAGTTTGATACATACACCAGGTACCTTTTTTTACTTAATGGTGTGTTTAGGTGTCTAGTAGTCCAGTGTTCTCATTGGTTTCATGGTGAGCTGTTCATTTAAATTCTTTAAACCAGTGGTTCCCAACCTTTTTCCTTAAGGGACCCCTTTTCTATCATTTAGTAAACTGATGATCCCTGACTAAGTGACATATTTCATTTTATATTCAGAACTGTACAATTAACCCAAATAGTGAATTCTGTAAGAGAAGTTTTCTGTAAAACAAGTGATTTGGATGAATTTTGAGCAGATTATTTCCTGTTTAGGGAATCTTTTATACAATTCTTTGTCTGAATTATGTATTTTTACCATCTTTAACAGCATCTATAATCTTTTATCATCTTAATACATACTTACAGACTTAATAGGCTTCTTTTTTTGGATAAATTCAGTGTTTTTTTTGTCCCTGATGCTTGTTATATTAGACAATTTACTGAACCGTTTACTTTTCTTCACAGAAGTAAACCAAATGCTGAGATATAGGCCTACTGTATAGGTTTTTCAAAATATTTCTTACACCCAGGTTGGGAACCTCTGCTTTAATCCACTGTTTCTAAATCATTTTAGACCGAGAAAACACCCAGAAAACATTGGGCCATTTAAGTCCCACCATTATGACGATACAGTAGTGAAGGCCGACCCTAATCAGTGGTCAGCTGTGCCTCAGAGGTAATCAGAGGTCAGCTGATCAAAAGGTTTGGCTCTTCGATCCCCGGCTCCTCCGGCTGCATGTCAAAGTGTCCTTGAACGAGATACTGAACCCCAAATTGCTCCAGATGCTGTGCATCACTGTTTATCACTGTTTGAATGTGAATGAATGATTGAATGTGGCATGTAATGTAAAAGCACTTTGAGTGGTCAGAAGACTAGAATGGTGCTATACAAGTACAGGTCCATTTACCATTTAGTTACAGTCCGGACACACAGGAGGCAGGTTAAATAACTAATAACATTATTTACTGTTGACTGTTATTGAATCTTAAACAGAACAGAGCTAATTTGGTGGAAAAGGGTTACTCCTGGTCCACATTTCTCCTCCCAATAGTTCCCATTTGGAGCCACAATTGCAGTGGTTTTAAAACATTAATTTTACCTTTGCTTACTATCTTGCCATCTCATTTAAGCTTGTAACTAATGATGGTGAATGTGTGTGCTGCATTCATGTACGTGACTCCATAGCAGGCTGATATCGAAAACTAAATATTACAGGAAATGCAAAACGTTTCAGTGATCTCAAAAGTATTTTTTTTTTTTTTTTGTATTTTGATTTGTTTTTTAACAAGGCAGCTCGTGTACCAACGGCGGCACACGTACCATAGTTTGAGAACCCGTACTTTAAACCTTTTCAAATGTGAAAACAGTGAGCCAGTGCATCAGCTGCAGGCACTTGGTTAACCTTTGCAAAGACTTGTTATAATCACAAGTTAGTCATAAACACTCCAGGTCATCACACTCCATTTTGGGTTATTTTTATTCCTTCCCCATTTCTCTTTCCTTCCCTCCCACTGTCGCTGATTTCCCTTGTGGAATTGCTTCATTAAAGCCCCAGAGTTTAAAGCGGTGTAGACATCATCAGAGATGGAGATGAAGAGGGCAGTCGCCACCTCCACGTGTTCACACACTCTCTAACTCAGTCACATGGAAGAGCAGAGGGACACACGCGCAGAGAAAACTCTCATTAACTAATGAGCTGGATGTCAGCCACACACACACACACACACACACACACACACACACACTGATTATCCCATCCTGTAATAGAGTGCCATCACCCTGCTGTGCTCTAATCACACAGCTGTATTCTCTCTCTCTCTTCATTCATGAAGTGAAACTATTTTTGTAGCTGACTCTACTCTTCTGCTCAGCATGGAGGCGGTGGCTCTTTTCTCTTTCACAGCATCAGAAGAGGACGAGATCAGTTTTCAGAAAGGGGACATTATCAAGGTAGGTGTGTGTGTGTGTGTGTGTTTGTGTGTGTGTGCGCGCGCCAGTGTCTGGGTTGATGCATTTAGAGGTTTTAGAAATTAAAATTGGCCAAAAGTTGACTAAAAAACGATTGCATGTTTACATAGTGAGAATAATTGTGCATGTGTGTTATAGGTGACAGAAATGGAGGATGATTCTTGCTGGTTCACAGCAGAGATCCGGGGGAAGCGTGGCTACGTGCCAGAGAACTACATTTCCCTCCTTCCTTATCCGTAAAAACAAATAATTTGTCCAAGTATTTATGAAAAATAACCCAATTTAGGACAGAAAACATACAGATGTGGAATGTTTTAACTACCATCAGTGGTTCCCAAATGTTATTGCTTGTAGCCCCTTCAAGTGAACCAATGTTTAACTTGTGACCCCTCATTACAGGTTACGATCTCAGTGATTTTCCTGCTTGGATTGTTTCGTTTGAAGGAGTTCTTGAGGACGATTAAAAGCAAAAATTAGAGAGAAGTCTGAAAAAAAATATTAAAATAACATGAATCATTTGATTTTATGAAATGGAGTTATTCTGAGACCAGCAGGTTGGGAACCACTGATCTAAATAACTTAGTTGGTTTTTCACTCAAAAGGTACTCGTGCTTATGCAGCTTAAATAGTAACATGAATATACTATAATACTCTAAATATATTAGCTCAAGAGGAGAGTATGATTTACATGCTTGTGTGTTTTGTAGGTGGTTTGCAGGACGGGTGTCAAGACTTGAGGCCGAAAAGCGTTTGCGCTGGCAGGACACTGGAGTGTTCCTGGTGAGGGAGAGTGAATCAGCTCCTGGAGAGTTTTCTGTCTCGGTTAGGTCAGTGAACGCACCACACAGACACACAAACAAGAGAGAGGCTCATGCTGCAGTCTGACGTAACATTCCTCTGTTGTCTGTTCCCACATTGTGATGTTAATAAGGTGCAGAATGTTTGTGTGATGTGGTGCAGCAGTTATATTTGCATGTGTTGAATCTGCTGCACTGCTGTAATTTCCCATTCAAACATCCAGGGGTGGACCTAGAGAGGTGGCACAAGAGTGGCAGCTGCCCACCCCCAGTTTGGTGTCAAATGTCGTCAAATTTAACACATTAATTTAGATACAAGTTGTACTTAAGTTCAATGAAAAAAGACACATAAAACATGTATTTGGAAAAATAAAACAATTGATTGATTCCTAATGCAACCTTAAGGTACTTCTATTCAATGTGCCACAGTAATGTAATGTTTTTGAGTTAAAAATATCTTCATTTGGGGGCTTTTCCCATCAAATATTGCTCTATGTAACTGTTTGGGATTAAATCAACTATATATTTCTGCGCCCCCTTAAAGGCTCCATGCCACCCCACAGATCTGACCCTGCACCCACTTTTCCCTCACAGCAGCTGCTCTGCTTTGCCAGTTTTTGCCTTTATAACCAGAGAGGTACAGTAAGCATCTGCTCCTGGGTCTGATCTCAAAAACAAGAACCCAGTTAAACACCTCGCTGATAGAATACACTCTACAAACGTGTTGTTGTATTGGATGTTTGTATTCCGTCACACTGAGCACGTTAGCAAGTTAAAGCATCCACGTGTCTTTGAGTGTGTGTCAGGGTCGGCGGAGGGGGAGAGTCGGACTATTTAAATATGTTCTACAAGAACCCGTTGCACTAAAAATATAACAGCCACACAGACTGTAAGAGTGTGTGTGTGTGTGTGTGTGTGTGTGTGTGTGTGTGTGTGTGTGTGTGTGTGTGTGTGTGTGAGAGGAGACGTAATTGGGTCACCAAAGTGACGTGGGACACATTTAATCATTGAGGGTAAATTAAATGTGTTCAATAATCGGGGCATTACATAACTCCACTCAGTCTTTAATTAAACACAGGTACATTATGCAATTGACACATGCCACAGACATGCATACACATACTGAGCACATACTAATGTTTGAAGGCACAACATCTGTCTGCCTGCAAGGGCTGAGAGTTAGCTGGTTTATTTATGTTCATGCACACACTCAACCACAAAGTGTAAGTTCTCAGGACGATCAACAGAGGGCGATAATGCTCAAGAAGAGTTCATGAGAGCCATTAGACCTGTTTTTATAGTGTTATAGTTGTAAACTGCAGCCACTCATTAAAGGAGATTATTTCAGTTCTCTACACGTTTGCAGTTCATCTAGATGACATCATGGCAAAACACAACAATGTATTTTAAGAGAGGAGAGCTCAATACAAATTACTTGTGTCCCAATTCTGTACCATATATTCTACTAACTGTAAACATGTTTTGAGTGTGTTAAAACAGACATATAGTCTACTTAAAACAGACTGTGTGCATACGATAAGAAAAAATTGTGTCATCTCCTGTTAATATAGTAAACTATGTTGATTTTTATAGACTAACTGCAAACGGAAGTATACTATAAATATTATATTATATTGTACAATATATTCTGTATATATTTAGTTTGTAGTGTGGAAGTCGAACACAGCAGTAGACAGAGAAAAGAATAAAATTCACACACTTCCATGGGCAATTTACAGCCTCTAATCATTTGTCTTTGGACTGTGGGAGGAAACCACAAACTCTGTGCAGGATGAAGATGGGATCAAACTCAGGACCTTGTTGTTGTGAGGAAACCACTGTGCTGCCCGAACATGTTAACTAGAACGCTACAAAACCTCTCATGTCTTAGGCTGTCAAGTAATTATCTTCATGGGAGGGACCCGCTTAATAACCAATTACACATTAGACAAGAGTACACTGTGCATGTTTGTTTTGAAATTTAAATACATTTCCGTCTTTAAATAAAACACACTGATACAAAGGCAAATATTCTGAACAGAACAGTGCAGTAGGAAACACAGAAGCACATCATAAAAGATTGAGTGTTCTTTTCTTTTGATGAGAAAGACGATAAAATATGTGTCATAGTCGAGATGTATTTTCTCAAGCATATTACACCAGAAATGATTATTTTCAGCTTCTCTGTTGAGAGGATTTGTTGCCGACATCATTGTGAACTTTTTAGTTTTCAATACTTTTTAACAGTTAAGAGACCAAATGATCGAAGAATTAATTGAAGAAAATAAAGAGCAGCAGTTTAATCAATAATGAAAATGTCACAATGTTTCTTAAAGACCACGGTGATATCTTCAAATTGTCTGACCAACAATAAAAAATAATAAAGACACTCAGTTTACACTCATATAAAAGGTGGAAGAGGTGGAACCAGCAAATGTTTGATTGAAACAAATATTTAATGAACAAAAAAGTCAATTATTGATCTTTGAATAAACTAATTCAGCTTTTCTCTATATCCCTTTCTTAGTGCTTGTATGTAGTTGCACAGTAGAGCTTTCCAGAACAGCTTGAACCAGTTTAATGTGTGTTTCTTCATGCGTATGTGTTTTGACATTTGAGCTTTGCATCCTGTAAAAACACCTTCTGTGATGATTTTGGAGATACACCCACACCTTGCAGAGGTTTGTGGTCTCATTCCTCGCTACTGACACAGCTATGCACACAGCCTCTTCGTGTATCCCTCAACAAAGAAACAGTCAGAGGAATGAGGGAGTAACAAAACTCTCAGTTTCACACTGTTCTGTTGGAGTATAAAGGAGCATGCATACCTGCCTTTATCCCCTTCACATTTTCTCACTTATTTTTGTAGCTACGGCGACAGGGTGGAACACTTTCGGGTGCTGGAGGGGGGCGGTCAGTACTGCATCTGGGACGAGTCGTTTTGTTCCCTAAACCGGTTGGTGGATTTCTACAGAACTCACAGCATCGCCGTGGAGAAAGTGGTCTGCCTCAGAGACCCTCCCTCCTCCCCTCGCCTGCTGTCCCAGCCTGGACATAACCCTTATCCCAACCCTTATAAAAGCAGCTCACAGGAATCTCTCCCCTCAGCCCGCCTCTACTCCCACCTCTCTCACCCAGAAAGGGAGTCCTCCCCACGTCTGCGTGAACCAGTTGTGGGGGTATGACGAATCTTGAAGCACCATTACTCTTCTCTTCTTATATGCACCCCTGGTTGTCTGACTGTCATCTGCTCTGTCTTTGTGTAGAAACCTCGTCTGGCTCACGCCCTCTGTGACTACACCCCCCCTCAGAACGCCCACCTCCACTTCCTGCGTGGTGACGTCATCGACCTGCTGGACTGCTCGAGCTCGCTGACCTGGAGGGGGCGCTGTCGAGGCCGAGTGGGAATCTTTCCGCCGGAGTACGTCCAGCCGCTGTACCACTGACACCATATCAAAGGGAACACCATCAGTATCATGGCTGTATCACTGACTCTCAGGCTGTAGTGACTTACCTCATTTATCCAATGATTCATCTAAGGATTCAATTATTAGTCCAATAATCAATTAGTCCATCGACTAGAAAATTCATTGATAGCAGTTTTTATTGATTTAGAGGCCTCAAAACATATTTTCTCAATCATCTTTGCGGTCTGATATTATTATCTGCTAAAGTTGGTACAGTTTTGGTTATTTCACATGACAGATTTCTGTGTTTCTATTTTTCTCTGTGCTCCTGAAGTGTCCGTGGATTGACTTCCAATCAGGATATAGCCATATTTGAATCTGAATCTGATGATCAGACCCCACTTACACAGTCCTGAATTGTTTCTGAGTGTTAAAACTGTAAATTATACCTAAAGAGGTTTTTGTAACTTTGATTATTGCTTATTTAATCACAAGTAATTAATGTAACAATTTTACATCAAAGTCTAATTACAGGTATTGAGGAGTACTATTGCATATGTGAAAATTGTTTTATAAAACCTTTTGTGGCTTCAGAGGAGCTGCGTGAAATTGGATAAATTGACTCAAGTGATGTAATCTGGAGTGGAGTTAGAAAGAAGTGAGATAACCAGAACTCAGCAGCCCGCTTCTCATCTCTACTTGAGGCTAGCGGCACACAGCAACGTTAGAATAACACACCCAAATCTTCAACCAGACTGTTGGTGGGGTGAGTTGCATTGTGGGTAGTGCAGGCGTTGATAAGGAAGTGGAATGCGTGGAATATAAAAAGATGATTTCTCTGATTCTGCTGCACTGATTTTTATCCTCTTTTTTTTTAAACCCTCCATCGTGAGTCTGACAGTGTTATCGGAGTGTAGTACTACATTGGTGCAATACTGAAACCACGTTTCAGTGGCTTTAATCATTTGAAGCATCAAGTAAATATGCCAGAACTTGAGGTTTTTCTACTTCTTACATGATTATTAATACCTGGGTTTTGGACTTTTGGGCGTCACCTTTCGTTCTTCCATTTCAGACTAATCAGTAACTCAAAAATTGGCAGTTTGTAATGAAAATAATTGCTGCAGCTCTTAAGTGAACCTTTATAAATGTCTTAATGTCCTTCTTTCACCAACTTGTATTGAAAATATTAATTAAAAGTGAAATTTAACTTTATGTTGGTTTTGTTTTACCATTTGGTCTGTTCCTCTAACCCTCTAATGTAAGTAAACTGTACAGAAGCAAATAAAAAGTGATATTATCTGGTTATAAATACTCGTTCTGCGTTCATTTGTGGACAAACACTTGTAGCTTTGATGCACATATCTATACATTTATTTGAAGAAATCACAAGAGAAAAACATTTAATGGACAAGTTATCAAGATATTTGTCTATTTTTGACTGACATGAGGTTCTTTACATCCAACAACCAGTAATTCTCAATACTTAATGAATTTCACCAATAAAAAAAAGAATTGAATACACAGCAACATGGACATTTTAGAGTTATATAGACATAGACACAGAGTTTCTCAACCTTGGAGTTCATGCCCCTTGTGGGAGTCTGTTGTTAAGTAGAAATGACTCATAGCCAATTTGCAAAACTGATAAATTGTAATTTGTCTGATATATTTGTAATAATAATTGTAAAACTTCTCATTGGTTCTATATCATTTGCATATGGAGCAGAAAAGGTTGAGATATTCTGATGTTTATTCATAAACAAGCTGAAAGAACACGCAAACAATAACTGAAGGTTCATAAAACTTTGATTTACAGACATAAAGTCACAAACATCACTATATAATTACCATTAAGCATATAGACAAAAAGGAAATACAATTATACAAGACACACAACTTAGAACACTTAAATATATTCTCACTATATAATCTTACTATATATTTTTATAAGCTTTGATATAAGATGAAGTGTGATGCTGTTTTATTCAGATGTCATTGTTTATCTAACACTAACTGCACACTCATGTTAGCTTGTTACAAGCCACAAGCTTCATTGCTATTTGAACAATAACCCTTCTGAAACTTTAAAACTAGGTTAACAACAAACAGGATGGGAAGGTTTTATGAAGAAACTAATAAACATAGTAGTGGGGTGGTGGTAAAAATCATAACATGAAAAGCACATGTGCGGGAATACTGTCTGATAAAGTGGTTTTATAAGGGAACACCGAGCACAGCCAGAGCTGCTCAGGACTTCGAAATGGAGGATTTTTAAACATTTATCCTTTTTGTTGTGACCTTTTGCACTCTTCAAAACTCTTCCATGTGTATCCAATGATTATCTGTCATTATGTGTAATTTTACACAATTATGTGGAAGCAGATGCAGATTAAAACAATTCTCAAGATTGTCTTTTAACAAAATAATATATTTAGAGGTTTGTGCAGCCTTGGTGGAGCTATGTCTCTCTTATTACTGTCGAGATTGAAATGTGATTTTAACCTGAAGCAATAAAATACAATACAGTCCCTTGATTTGAAAGGATTCTTGTAACAATCAGTACAACAACAACAGTATGTTTCCCCCCCATGTTGGATCTGGAGAGGCAGGAAGAGTTTCAAGTTCATGTTTGAGAGACTGGCAGGAGTTCAGCAGGAGGGCGAGGCAGGATGTTAAATCCGATCCCCTACTCAGGCAAAGTATGCATAGAGAAAAATGTTAATGCTGACCAGCAGGATCGCATTGGCGCAGCAGAACCTGGACCAGAACACGCTCTCTCTAACGCTGAGAACTCTGGGAGTTGGAGGCTCTTCTGATCGCCGCGCTGCTGAGATGCACAATCCTGCCCCGTGACCACATGTCCCCCGCCGCGTTGGCTCAGAGCCTGCGACATCAACACACACAGAGCGGACACCGGAAGTGACAATACAGTAGCATTATGTGTGTGTTGAGGACTGTTTAGCACATGATGGCTGGTTTCATTCCAAGTGGCATGAATATTCACTCTTACCCTGGGAGCTACGGTGGCTGACAGAGGACACTTTCTGTAGAGGAATTTCTCTTTGAGGCTCTTCAGTCAGAGTCCAGTAGGTCAGGTTACACACCTGGAAGGGAAGTGGAAACGTGTCTATATTGAAAATATCCTGAGTTCAACAGACAGTTAGATGAGAAGTTTGACACAACTCTCATCATGTCTGTACAGTAAATATGAAACCAGAGCTATCAGCCTGCTTTAAAGGCCCTGGTAGGTGGATTTCTGGATAGAGCCAGGCCAGCTGTAAACCAGCTGCTTTATATTTAACAGACAAACATGAAAGTAGCATCAATCTCTTCGTCTAATTCTCTGCAAAACAGAAAACAAGCATATTTCCATTTCTGATACACAGTATTTATTCATTTCCAGGTTGGAGAGTGGTGGTTTCACGAGTCACTCTAACTTTTGTACTCAGACAGTCAGGCCAATCTGAAGCGTAACCCTTTGTAATATTATTCAGTTTTATTTTATTCTTCCTAATTATTAATCTTAGACAACATAGAGCCCTCACATTTAGCGTAGACTGTTTTTTTATTACGGTTTAGCGAGCTCTCGGCTGCAACGAGTATCTGTACATACTTTTTGAGCTCAGCATATATAACATGGCTCCAAAGCTCAATTCTGAGGCTGTAAATAGTTTTCTAATATATGGCAACTTCTGATCAACACATACAGTATCAATTACAGGCTTAAATTACCAACTTCTGTTCACTTCCACCCACTTCCGATTTAAGCCCCACCCACACTGAGTACCAAGCATTTTAATGGATATAGAGAACTGACACTGGGATTAGTAGTTTGTGTTTACAGAGCAGGTTATGGATAAATGTGGTGACAGGATATAATTGTACAGCATTCAGGGGAGATTAAACAAATCTACCTTGTTTTCTAGTTTCGGCTAACTCTCTTATAATGTGTTACAACAGCCATATTTCATCAGAAAGGCTACTGTTTGCCTTTTGAGTTCACACACAGGCCAGAATAATGTCACATGTGACAAATGGATCACCGGCTCAAAAGCGACTTAAAATATGAAGCATTTAGTCTGTTTTTTCTATTGTGTGCAACAATAGTTCGACTGTACGATTTTGCTCTATTGTTGATTGTTGATCTTTTGGATTTAGGTAGGCTTGGGCTCTTCGAATGTCTTGTCACATGGAGGCCAACCGTCAGATAACGCCGGCTCCTTTAACTCAGATTCATCTGTTTCTTTTTGTTTTCAGTAGATAACATTAAAGGTGTATCAACAGCAAAACAGTTACATAAGCTTACTCCCATTATAGTCACTGTATCTATGTGTACACACCTGTTCGTGGGTGGGCGGCGGTGTGAGCAGTGATACCACAGTAACCACGATACTAGTGAGGCCACAGAGCAGAATGGCGAAATGGAGGTAGTGGACACTGCGCAGCACTGCAGGGGCCGAGTCCACAACGCCACATCTGGGAGGTGGGAAGGCAAACTCCAGCACCATCCGACACACACCCACCACCAAACCCACCATCAGGCCCCAGAATGCACCCTGAATAACACACAAACACACATAAACACACACAGGTTACATTACATGCCTTTCTGAATTGATATGTTCTGAACTTTCTGGTGCAGAAAGTAATCATAATTCCTGCAGCAGCCCTGGCCCGGTCTCATTTGGGTGTGTTCGACTCATAATACTCTCACTTTCCCACCATGATAATCTGCCATCATCGTGTCACTTCCCATTGAAGTACACACACACACACAAACACACACACACACACACACACACACACACACACACACACACACACACACACACGTGCAGTGACACAAATAACTCTCTGGCTCCTTCTCTGTTCAACCTTCAGCAAAGAATGTGATCTGTGCAGTTCAGCTGTTCACACAAGAAAATAATCACCTCATCACAGCACACAAAGCCAACATCCATACGTCTGCTATACGTCTATCTATACTATTTCTTTGTGTGAAAAACAGTTAAGAACAACAAGTTAACAACAAGTTGTTGGAACGGTCTGTTTGTCTGGTTAAATCTTTAAACACCAAATAAAATCCTAAAATGTACATTTCTATTACGAATCCATTATAAGACACGACATGTGCCAGATGTAATGACACTTATAACAGTATTAATCTCTACAGTATCAGACTAGTCAGCATGTGACACATCACACAGCGGTAATGTGCGCTCTTTGACCCCATGAGTCAACACAGTGAGATTCTTCCAGCGATATGCTCACTGTGTTTATATGAACAAATAAAAAGCTTACATCTATTGTGTAAGAGTCCTATTAACCCCTCTCAGTAACTTTTTATAGGCAGAAAGTGAGACTGTAACACACGACTGTGACATTGTATAACACCTTTTTTATGAAGCTAGAAAGCTTTTTATAGATTTAAACAATTTGGTATAAATTAAATTTTAATGTCTGTACCAAATTTTATGGGAGTTCTTGAGGCATTTCACTAAAAACATGGGGGCGTGGAGGGAAAAGTTGAAGGATAAACAAAGCCAGTAGGATTCATCCTCTGGGGACAATGACAGTTAACATGGGAACCACACAAATCTGCAAGCTCATGTTTTATTTTATTTATTTATTTATTTATTTATTTATTCTGTTGAAGCCTGAACAACATTTAATGGTAATCCATCTAAGTAATTGTTGAGAGATATTTCAGTCTGGACCAAACAACTGACAGCAACACAGCCACCAGCATTGTTAAAAGCTATTTTATGTAACAGAGACGTCTTTTAACCTGCCAATCAGTGTTTGCTGGGCTATTGCCAATCCAGATTGTAACCTCAGGCAAGTTCGTTGTAAACACATTCAGACTCTTTGTAGCCTCAATTCAGAGTTGTAAAATGGTCATATTTGCATTAAAGTAAAAGGGAAAATCCCTTTAGTTCTGAAAAACCAGAGAAAATCTTCTTTATTGAAATAGTTAAACAGCATGTCCGCAGAGAGCAGACACACCCAGAACTTGCTCTATTAAAACGGGTTCAGTCTCTACTATCCGCTGGACTTTTTGCTGTTGAAAGCTGTTTCATCACATGAGTTACGACCTCTGCGCAGATACACATTCTTACCACAACAGCGTTATCTGCTTTTTTACTTCACTCTGTTAGTCTTTATCTTCTAATAATCACACTTTCTCTCACCTGCAGTCTGTTATCAGCCAGAAACAATCACTTTCATTTGTTACAGTGGAAGAGCAGCACAATATAATGCTGGTTCCTACAGAGGAAATAATAAACAATGCACTTCATACAATGAGTGAGCACACTCACACACACATGTGGACTCCACACCGAGCAGTGAGGGATGTTGGCAGCTGGATCCCATGTGAGGCTAATAAAACCGTACTGCAGTATAGTGTGGGAGAAAGGACAAACAGCACCAAACTCACAACTAGTAGTTTTGTGTCCAGAACGGAGCAAACTTTGAATTAAGTTTTTGTTTTGTGTGTTGAAAAGTAATATTATATATATTTTTTAAATTTATTTAGAGATTTAATTCTGTTTAATTTTAATATTCTGAATGTAATTTGTCGATTAAAGCTGGGCCAGGCAGATCTTTGGCAGATTTTTGGCATCTTAAGATTCAATAATAACCTTTCAGCATATTAAAGTGGTGTGAGAGAAAACTAGGTATTTGCTCCTCCTCTTGGCTCTGCTGCTGTTCAAACTTGTGGGTTTGGTGGGAGGGGCTTTAAAGAGTGACATGAGGCAGCAGAGAGAGAAGCGAAAAGGTTAGGTTTGCACAGCTTTTACCTCCTGCAGCTCTAATGGATTACTGTACTGACATAAATGAATAACTTGTTATCAAATTCTGTCGATTTATCAACCAAAACTGCCAAACATTGCTTCACAAATTCTAAGATTTTCTTTGTTGGTCAAACAAAATAAACAATTTGAAGACTTTTGATGGGATGTTTTCACTATTTCATAAGTTAGATTAACTGTTAGCTGCAGCCCTAATTGTATGATATGGACCCTTATTGGTGTTGCATGTGTTACCTGCTCGTTGGTTCTCGTCCAGAAAACAGCCAGAGTGAAGACAGCAGTGACGGGCGGAGCGAGGTAGCTGGTCACTGACTGGATGTAGACGTACAGCTGGCCGCTATTGGCCGACTGTAGGATGGGGATCCACACCACACTCACCACCACCAAGATCACAGTCACGATCCTGAAACAAACACACACACACACCACATTCTCTGTCACTTCCTCTGCACACACACTTCCCCTTTTATATATATATATATATATATATATACTGTATATATAAGTATAAGTGATCAGAGGGTTCAAGGGTTTTAAAGTCAGTGAATGTGACATACCTGCCGACCAGGAGCAGCTCTTTCTCCGAGGCCCGTGGGCGATGTTTCTTCCAGATGTCCATGGTGAAGAGCGTGGAGCTGCTGTTAAAGATGGAGGTCAAAGATGACATCAGAGCAGCCATCATCACCGCTATCATAAGTCCACGCAAGCCTGTAACACACACACACACACACACACACACACACACACACAGAGAGAGAGAGAGAGAGAGAGAGAGAGAGATGAATAGATGCATGCAGGTTATAAAATAAAAAAGCATTTGGAAATAACACAAGATTTTTTAAATGAAAACAGTATTCTCACCGCTTGGCATGAGTTCAATGACCAGTTTGGGAAAGGCAATGTTGGAGCAACCCACTTCAGCTCCACACACTCGCACACATTCCTCTGGATCCACACATCCTACAGAGTCTGAAATATGAGGCAGCCACAGGTCATTCACACACAGGCGTGGAAGACGTAACAACATATTCTACTCACGCAGAACTCATGTTAATAAAGGAGCTGGGGTTAAAACGCTTCCTGGAACATAGAAGGTCACTTAAAAGAGGAGAATTTGGTGGCTTACGGGAATGTAAGAGTGTATTTTGTAGTTAAAGGTCCAGCGTGTGTAGGATTTAGTAGCAGCCGGCAGTAACGTTGCAAGATTGCAACTAACCGAACAACGCTTGTGTCTGTATTTGACGGCCTGGGAATCCATATCTGCCAACAGATCCTCCCAGATGTTACACACTGGACCTTTAAAGACTCTCTTGTTTAGTCAGGAATGGCTCCTCTCGAGCCGATCACGCAAAACAGATGGAAAAATGTGCCCCTTGTACCACAAAAACACAACTTGTACATGTAAACTTAAACTAAAAATCCTGCTGACGTTAAATGTTAAAAGTAACTTGATGTCACTCATTAACTGTTAACTGTCAGATATATGAATGTTTGCGCTCATCTTATGAAAAACCAGTCTGCTCTGTAACATGATACACACGGGACACCAGACTAATGAAGAAAACAGGACATCAGTAACTTCTCTCCTGAGTTTAGCTGTGATTTCAAAAGATCAATGAGACCTCCTTTTATATAATATAGGAGACAGATGACCCCTGCTTAAGTGACATATTTTATGATTATTTCATATGATATAATATATATATTAGTAACTGCAATAATTTTGAGTAAAACAAGTGATTTGGATGAATTTTGAGCAGATTATTTCCTGTTTAAGGAACTTTTTATACAATTCTGTCTCTTTATTATGTAAAAATGTAAGAATTCAAAGTTATTTTATTGTTATTTACAACGCAAGGTTGTAGAAATTACTAATTTGTGGAGGAAGAACCTCTACTTTACGTTTACTTTTCTTCACAAAAGTGAACCAAATGCTGACATATCATACGTTTTCTAGCACGCCTTAAAATCAAGAAGGCTTTGCAACCACCCATGAAGCTTTGGCGACCCCTAGGGGAGGTCCCGAACCCCAGGTTGGGAACCACCGTGTTAAAAAGATGACTTAAAATACATTAACCCTGGTTCAGACATTCATTTGCCATTCCTCATGTTTTATCACTAAAAATAAAGTTTAGTATCTGGACTGCCTGAAGTGTCTAAATAGGATTTTCAGCATTTTATAAGTTAAACTTTAAGCCTCTAAGGGAAGAATGTAGTCATTATTTCTTATCTTAAGCCTACAACCACATTTCTCTCCCTCTGTCCAGGGAGGAGGGTGGAGTTTATGCATTCTCTTTCCTGACCGACTACCGGACACTCCGCCTTTCTGACACCGACAACAGAGCTTCCGTTGCCGGATTCCAGGGTCAGACACTTACCGGCAGCTCCACCACGGCTGGACCTCGGTGAACTCTCCGTCTGGAGGAACGTTTTAACGGGGAAAGAAACGGATTAAACCGACCCGGTGAAAGCGGAGACTCCTACGCTTCATGTTGGTTGATATTTAAGACTTTTTTTTATTTGTGTGCTTCGGGAAAATCAACAGTTGCCATTTTTTTAGGGGTGGGGGGGTAACCAGCTGTGAACCACTGCGGGCAGACTACCAACGAGAAGAGACTCGTCAGCATTCAAAGAGTCAGTGTGAGTCACAGTTTTTGAAAAGGAGGATTAATGACTTATTTCTCTTCCTCAAGTACGTGTTCCGCTTTAGTTTGACTCACTTGGCAGACACACAGACACACAGACAGTCATTTTCACCCAGACAGCCTCCTCCATGTCTGCCGGGCCCCGCGGCCGCAGCAGCTGTTGAACCGGGGCCGCCGCTGAGCTCGCCCGGCCCCTGTCAGGTGAAAGGCGTGGCTCGGGGCGGAGGTGCTTTGTTCCACTATCACCTGTGTGAGTGTGTATATGTGTGTGTGTGAGGGTGTGTGTGTGTGAGTGTGTGTAACTGGATATTTGAGGCAGAGCTGGAGTCGGTGTTGAGGAAACTGTTGTAGCGGATTATTAATCTCTCCCCCCTGCCCCAACCGGAGGGATCCGTTCACCACACTATGGACCGGAATGACACACCGCACTTTTTTGAGTTTTGACCCGTCGGAGCAGCGAGTGGAAACTGGGTCAGAGAGAGTTTTTTCGGTACTTTAACTCTTCTAATTGAGCGGTGTGTGTGTGTGTGTTGAGGGGTTAATGGCGCTGTCTCAGATCCAGTGTCTGGACGATCACCACGTCAACTGGCGAGTGAGCGAGAGCAAACCGGAGTTCTTCTACAGCGAGGACCAACGGCTGGCGGTTGAGGCTCTCATCACCAAGGGTCGCGATGCGTTCAAGGACTACATCCGCAACACTGGCGTCCGGGAGTTCCTCTCGGAGCCGGAGCTGGAGCGGATTGAGCACAAAGCGGAGGCCTACCGCCCCGGGTACGAGCATCATCTGAAGCCGGAGACCCCAGGGCCGGGGAACCTCACCCCGGGGTCCGGGGAAGAAGGCGGGGACGGGAATGTGTCGCTCCAGTACTGGCCAGACCGGTCCGAGGCCTCGGTGGCGGAGCTGGATCTCGGCTGGCCCGAGGCCATCTCGTACCGAGGGATCACGCGTGTGACCGTGTACACGCAACCTCCGGTCGAGGGGCACACGCACATCAAGGAGGTGGTGCGCAAGAGCATTGCATCAGCCCAGAAGGTAAAGTGAAGAAGATGATGGTAGTGATGATGATGATGTTGCAATGCAGTTATGTACACTTTATAATGAGGGCTTGCACAATTTGGTAAAAACATCATATTGTGCCATTTTATTGCCATTTTGTTATATTTTCACTATAAAAACTATTAAAATGTTGATTGTGGAGGCTGTAATCTGGAGAACAAGATGTGTAGACCACCTCTGCAGGACCACAGTACTTCATTATAATACTGTTTCTCACACCTGTGTCAAAACACTGCAGGTCTTCCAATTTGCATATTGCACACATTGCTTAAATGTAATGCGATACAATCACTGATTACTTGTTAAAATATGTAGTCAGTAACTAATCCAAGTATCACAATATTACTTTATCACTTTGGATTACCTTGGCACAGAAATATTCACAAGAAACTGACAAAAAAAAAACGGATGTAAATTGTAATCCTGCTAATAATCAACATTTTTACTAAATGTAACTGTAATCTGATTACATCTTTTTTATTTTATAACTAATGGATTACAGTAACCTTTTTTTGTATCTTGATTACGTAATTCAGTTACATGTAATGTGTTACTCCCAAAGGGCACAAATCATATACCTCAGTAATGCTTAACTAATGCATGAGTCATGATGGCTCAATGTATGTATTAATACAGGATGTATCTTATTACAAATGCTCAAATCACTATTACTTTTTGTCTGGTAAGTGTCAACTGATCACTGTTAGTGGTGAGCAACAGGTATTGATGATGCATCCTGCGTTAATAAATGGATTTAAGGTCCAGTGTGTAACATTTAGGAGGATCTGTTGCTAATAGAATATTCATAATGTTTATATTAGTGTTTAATCACCCGAAAATAGGAATAATCTTGTTTTTGTTACCTTTAAACGAGCCATTTTTTATCTACAGACGCTGCAGGTCGCCTTGCATGGAGTCTGCTATGTTGAACCAAACACTGGCTCCAGCGAGTTTTGTCAAATACAGACGCGACCACTAAATCTTACACACTGGTCCTTTAACTCATCACGACTCATGCATTCGTTAGGCATTACTTAAAGTTATAGGATCTGTACCCTTTTTATAAGGTTTTACTTTGTAATGACGTCTCCACCAAATCTTAAACAAAGAAAATAACCTCACAATACTCTGAGTTAAATGAAACCACTGTGCACTGTAATGTAATCCAGTACAACAGCTCTATATTAAATAGCTCGCTATCCTCTTCTTTCAACTCTCGAACACTTTTTAAAGATTTTTCTAACTTGGATTTAATTATATTGTGTCCATATTTGGCTCCTACATTCACGTAAATATGGTGGACAAAGCACACTTTTTAATGTGAACCAGACCAATAACAAAAACACCACAATACAGCAGCTCAAAATGTACCACAGCACTGAGTCAACACACAAACAACCACAGTCTCAACAACAACAAAAAATGAAGTAAGGTTATAGTTGTTGCATTGCTATTGAATGCAACACGATACTTAATGGTTTTATATATTTTTTTCTCGGTGTATAATACAGTTCACTGCCACTACACTGCAAACAACAAAGCAGTGTTTGTGTTACAGAGTAAAGAAAATAACTTTTATAAGCCTCCACACAATAAGCCCATTGTGTTCAGAGCTGATTGAATAGTTGATTAATCCACGGGAAATTTATCCGCAATTGTTTTGATAATTCTTTGGAAACTTTGTCTGGTTCCAACTTCTCCAATGTGAGGTTTAGGAGTTTTTTCTCTCTGATAGTAAACTTATAAATTTGTGAATTTAATCCAGTGTCTTTCTAATTTACATCTGTCTGGACATTTACGTCTCATTATTTGCCCCTCTGTTGTCTTACAAAACTTACTTCCCTCTCCCGTGCTTCCCCCTGACATGTGCCACACTCACACATGCACACAACAAAGTTTTAATAACACAAGTCTGATCTTGACACGCCAGTGGAAAAAAATTCTCTGACGTCAGTGCACACGGTACATGCCAAAACCCTATACATAACCTTTACCTCTGACAGACATAGAAGCTGACTCATTCACATGTAGTAGTCTAGCTCAGAGCAACAAAGACTTAAATTAAACATCATTATTTATTACAACTTATCTTCTTTTATCTTCTATATTTCTCTTACTTAATCTAGGTTTGACTGGACAGTGTAACGACACATAACGTATAAAATATTCCAACGTCAAAGCTCACAAACGATCTTTTCCCAGAGCGATTTTCTTGTTTATGTTAATCAGTAAGTTGTCAGGTCTTTGTGGCCGCAGTTCAGCAATTTTAGACTTCAAAACTGGGTCAGGTTAAGAGTGAATAGACAGTGTTGTGTGAAGAGTGCCATGCTGTCACTATCATTGCTGTATTGTTGAACCCACAGAAGACACACTGTCCAGCTATTTCACACTCTATCACCCCTCCGCAAAGCACTCTTTGTCTCTAGCAGTCTCTCAATGTTCAGAACAGTTGTATTCTTTGTCTTTGAGGGTTTAATTGACTTTTTAGATCCAGTTCTCATAAGTACCCAGCTTCCTTTAAAAGATTTAATGGCTGTAATATTGTTGATAAGAGCAGCTTAAGTCGAACCCACCCTTACTGACCAGGAAGCACTAACACTATTTGTGGTTTCCTCTCTCTGTCTGTGTGTGTGTGTGTGTGTGTGTGTAGGTGATAGCCGTGGTGATGGATGTGTTTACAGATGTGGATATTTTTCGAGACCTGCTGGATGCAGCCTACAAGCGCAAAGTTCCTGTATACATAATAATTGACACGGCTGCAGTCCCCTGCTTCCTTTCCATGTGTGGCAGAGCTGATATGCACCGTGGACACCTAAAGGTATGCATACAGAATCACACCCAGATGATGTTTTGATAAGCTGGGAGATAAGCTAACTGGATAGATGGTTAGTCTTGATAAGGATATAATAATAGAAAACAGTTTATTTAAAAAAAAGCTCCAACGTTTTAAAAAAAAAAAATCCCATTAAAGACAGAAACAGCATTATTGTAGAAAGGAATTCGAAAGTAAGGCACCAGATCGATGTAGGTGTGACAGGTTTTTGCCTGCAGGCCCTGATAAGGTGCATGCACCAGCTAGTATTTGGCTGTTGGGTGGATTTCTTTGTTATCCTCTGCCTCTCTGTGTTGAACTGGTCTAGGCAGTAACAGAAAATACTTTATGTTTCATGGGGGCTTTTCTAAATATTCTAGACTGGAAGCCAGAAAGACACTAAGCACATTCCCGTCTGTGCTGCAGGCAATTATATTAACCACCCACACTTAACTTTCTGTACCATGTTTCTCTTTCATTTCTCCTTCTGCCGTCCTCACAGCTTTAACCACCGGACCTCCCCTCTCTCTTTCAACTGCTTTGTTATCTGCCATCTCCGCTGTTATTATGAGCATTTACGACTCCTGGTGTCTCCTGTAAGATTTCGCACAGAACATTTACTCACGAGGTAACGCTTGGACTGGAACCACACCCTTATCACAGGGCCAAAGACAAACACCACAGGGTGTGTCATACAAGCATGCACATACATAGATATAATCCATGCTCTAACCTGTAGAGTCAGCCTACACAAAGTTATAGTTGTATTAATATACTGTTCTTGAGCAACAAGAAAACTCATTCTTTTCTGACTACCCACTCTTGTCGCCTTTATTTCCCCTTTGTTCGCTTAAATCCTTCCTCCCATTGACACTAAACCCCCCAATGGCCTTTCTTCACATAGCAGTAACCCTGTATGTATGTGTGTGTTTGTGTGTGTGCAGAATCTACGTGTACGCTGCTGTGGAGGTGTAGAGTTCTTCACCCGGTCAGCACAGAAAGTGCGTGGATCACTCAATCAGAGGTTCCTCCTGGTAGATGGAGACAGAGCCATCTCTGGTTCATACAGGTGAGCAGTGTGCATCAACACGTGTTTATTTGTGTTTTTAAAGCTGCTATAATCAATATTTTTGCATTAACATGGTTTAAAAAACTATGTGACCTGAAAGCGGTCGCACTAGGAGACAAACTGCAGAGCATTTTGGTATCTTTCAGCCTATGTTTTGGTTTTCTGGCCCGCAATAGTTCTGTTTTGCTTCAGTCTCATTGTTCCCATCCTGGCTCAACCAGTTTCCAGCAGCAGGCAGCTGTTTTCAGTTAAAAGGCTCTAAAAAAAACCCACTGTACACTATCTGCTCAGCACCAAACAACAGACAGACACAGTTAGGGTTAGATTAATTTGTGGAATAGCCAGAAACATAACTCCAAATGATTGCTAATGTTGCTCCAGGTCTGCTAGATGTGTAAATAGTCGGTCGAACACCAGACCAACTTAAAGCGATGATATGGCAATAAGGACTTTACAGCACTGCTCCCAAGTGGCCAAACAAATCTGTTTAAGCCATGACATGCAGTGTAAAAAAATACAGCCTTGTAAGCCGATACACCCCTTCCCCAGTCACTGAAGCTCTGTTGCAGCATGCAGACCTTCATCTGCAAATGCTAATTTCTGATGATTCGGCACATCTTCCAACCATTATAAACCTTCACCTCAACACACACAGACTTTTAGTCCAGAGAGTTAATCTGCAGTTACCTATTTACCAATATATGTGTATTCTCTGATAGACTGTATCCCTCGTTTCACCAGGAAGTTGAAGAAAAATCATACGATCAAAGAGCAAAATGTGATGCATGACTTCAGGTTACAATGTCTGGTGTAATGATTACGTTATAAACTGGGTTTTCTATGTAGGAGCTGAAAAACATGTTTGTAATTGGGGAGTCGCTGCTGTGAATTTATAGTTTCCATGTCTGTGTTATTCCAGCTTCACCTGGTCCGCATCTCGTCTGGACCGCAACCTCATCTCTGTGATCACAGGACAGGCTGTGGAGACCTTCGACCTGCAGTTTCGTGACCTTTACCTCCTGTCCAGAGGCGTGTCTCTCAACAAGGTCCCTGTGGTAGATGAACCAATACCTGACCCAATCCCTCAGGCGGTTGCTGCTCCGGTGTCAGCTGCTGTTGCGAGGAAGCTCATCAATCCCAAATATGCCCTTGTTGCCACAGGAACCCACACAAGTCCCACTTCTTCTGACCAAAATTCCAGCAACAAGAACTCCCAGATTCCCACAGGGCTAAAAATACTGAAAGGACGTCCTAAATATGTTGCAGAAGTGCCACCCTTGCATCCGGGATTGGCCCATCTGGAGAAAGCGTACCTGATCCCGTACCTGCCCACCTGGCCAGAGCCGGACCCACCGAGTGACGTGATTGGCTTTATCAACATCAGGGACGAAAAGCGAGCCAATCAGGTTCACTTACAGAGGTCAGAGAGGTTTGAGACCAGCCAGGCTATACGGTTCAGCTCCCCACTGTTTCTACCAGCAAAGACTGAGGAATCTGGTTCAGGTCAGGATGCAAAACAGACAGGAACAGTAGAAAACTCTTCTGGGAATAGAAGTAAAGATACCTCTACTCCTGTGAGTCCAACCAACAAACAGCAAACACACACAGCTCAGAATAAAGACCAAACTGATGCAACCGATTCCAGAGTGCCCCCTCAGCAGCCAAACACACCTTTAACACAAGACACACACAAACCAAATGCTCACACACCTGCATCACCATCCAGTGTTACTGCTGATTCACAGCCAACAGACAATGCTAAACAAACTCAAGAGACTCCACAAACCGCTGCACCTCCTATTCCTAAACGGCGCACACTGCAGTTAGTCATAGACCCCGCCTCCTCAGAGCAGACTGGCCAACCTCAGGTCACTCTGATGAAAATGGACCAATTGGAAAGTCTAGATGGCTTTACCAAAAAGAGAACCCAGGAGGAGCTGACACCAGGCCGTGGCCGCATAGCATCAAAGGACGACGGCAGGGACTCTGGCAGCAACGAGGAAGGCAGCCAAGACAGCACGAAGGTCATATGTGACCGAGCAGCCAACGATGATCCGTCAAGCACTTCCACCGCATCAGAAGAGGAGTTTTACGATTGTTCCCAACCAGAGGCAAGAGACCCATTGACCAATGGAGTCACAGCAGGGTCAGGTCACGGGCATCGCCAGGGAGACGGGTTCAACATGATGGCTCGTCTGTCCCAGAGCATGCTGGATCTACGGGAGCCCAGCCAATCCGAGGACAGCGCTGACCTCATCCGCCAATCACAGCAGCTCCGCAAACAAGCACACGCCTCACCGCATAGGCACATAGGACAGGTGAGCACTCAGTGGAGGTTGTTTGGTGTTGAAACAAATTAGTTGATCAATCGCTTCTTCGCTAAATCTGTTCGTCCACAACCTGGTAAATTGTAATGAGCATTTTACAGACTATAAACGATTAAGTGTTTAGTTTAATTGAAATTATCAACAGATTGGTTATAATAATTGAAGAACATTTATTATAGAGGTGAAATATTGTAATAATTCATCAGTAGTTTAAGTAATTTTTCAAGCAAAATGGACATTTAAGCTTCTCAATGTGAGAGTTTTTCTCTGTTTTACATAATTGGAAATTGAACATCTTTTGGTCAGAAAAAATAAACAATATGAAGACATCACACACACACACACACACACACACACACAGGCTGAAATACACACTTCATGCACTGGTGGACATGCAACAGGGAGAGAGATGGTGGAGTGATGGGCTGCGCGTTAGCGGCGCCCCATGAGCAGTTTCTTGGGGTTAGGCTGCCTTGCTCAAGGGCACCTCGGCAGTGCACAGGAGGTGAAACTGGCACCTCTCCAGCTACCAGTCCACACTCCATACTGTGGTCTGTTGGACTTGAACCGAGCTACTGCCCCCCCCCATTAGTGCAGCTCACAGTAACACTAAAGTAGATGTTGACTCAACGCTTATTAAAGGAGTTAATCTTTTCAGTCCTCGATTGATGTTTCATGAGTAATCAGTGACAAGAACAAGCGGAGAAGTTCTCAGGAACAACATTTGCGATGAACAAGATTGCAGGAAAGATACAGATCACACACACATTTACACAAACCCGACTAAAAGTGGGTGTGTTTCAGCAGCAGTGTCAAAGCAGGCCACTGCCTGCTTACAGTAAATATGTCCTACCTTTTTTCCTAATCAAGAGGTGCTCGCATGTGTGTGCACGCACCTGGATAGAGAACTCGGCTGATCATGCCTGGGAGGATGATGAAGATGAAGGGCAGCATCTTCAGATATGAAGCCAGGATTGAGGCTCCTTTCACATGACTCATGTTTTTGGCAGATAGGGACCGTTGCACAATCACCTACACATACAGAAACACAAATAATAATATAATCATAATGATAATAGTAGTACAGAAAGTGGAAGCTTGTTAGCTTAGCTTGCTAACGTTAGCACCTACATTACTTTCTGTTCATGTGATTTCCAGCTATTATCAGATATCACGCTGAGATTTCTGGTATCAGGCTTAATGGTCGAAGAAAGAAAAGTGTGACTGAAGTCTGACTTTGATTATAATAATAATAATAATGATATTATACTTTGATTATAACCTCTGATTAATCTGGGATAACTGAAAACTCCTGATGTGTTTCTAATATGTTTTGGGGCTTTTTTGGCTTCATTAGATACGACAGCTGAAGATAGACAGGAAAGGGGGAGAAAGAGAGGGCCACATGTCAGACTGGAACCCATGGCTGCTGCCTTGGTACATGGGGCGCCAGCTCTACCAGGAGCTCCTGATTTGACTTTAACCAAGATGGACCTGTAGTGTGCTCAGTCTCAGGGGATCATTTGAATCAAAGGAGAAGTAGATCCAGGAATCATCGTCATAAAAATGGAAACTGATGCTTTTTTAAATATTTGAGCATAGGAAGAGAATAGTAAAGGACCGAGGATTGATCCCTGAGGTACTCCATGTGTGAAATGGGTAGTAGAGGATTTATAGTCCCCTGTAGCCAAACAACAATCAACTTGTCTAACTCTTCATCCTCTCTTCCTCTCTCTGTCTAGTTGTTCCAGACCTCAAGATCTCCAGGTCGTAATGCGCGACTGAGAGGAGCCAAAGTAGTCATTGCCAAACCGGGAAGTTTCCACCGCCCCACCCGAGCAGCTGGCCCTGTGATTGGAGGACACCGTTACTGGCAGGCGGCTGATTCGGCTCACGTAGAGGGGCGCTCTGGCCGGTCGCCGCGACGCCACAGCCCGGGTTACAGGAAGACGGACCACATCTCGGCACAGCCACCAGACAACCCATCAGGGTTACTCGGAGTATCTTTCTCAAAACTGAGCAATTTAAGACACTTAAGGGCACGAGGTGGAGGTTCGCAGAAGAAGGCGTCTCAAAATAACAAGCCTACTAGGTAGAATTGTAGTATGATAGTAGGATGACTTCCTGTTAAGAAATTGGTGACTCTTCAGCGAGGAATCTTCTCTAGCTATGGCATGCATGTCATTTCCTGCTTTCGAACCCTAAGGCTCAACATATGAACTATTAGTTGGCAATTATATCTGAAGATATGTTTGAAGAGGTTTGGTCTGTAAATCAGTCACATCGCCTTTCACTCTAATGCTTCCTGGTTTAAGTCTTCTAATTGGATGGTTTCTGTAGTGTCTGGCCGATAATGAATTTTAGAAGCAGACACTTATATCTGTTCGGTAATAAACTGATAAAGATATATCAACTGAGGCAGGGTATTTTGTAGGTGATAACATACAAAATTTGGTCAGCTGTGACAGTCTTCTCTGTATTGTAAACAATCCTTTGAACAAATATGTCTAAATTACCTCAACTGCTTTTTCTTTTTCAGAATTTTGTACTGTAATGTTTTTTCCAAAACTAATCTGCACAGACTCTGTATCAGTCCATTATGTCTCCCCACTGATATGGAGTCAGGTTAAGTGTTGATACCACTGTGATTGGTTACTGACGGTGCAAGTGTATGGATACTGTGTTGATTGCCTTTACGTATTTGGATGATGTACTGGATTACCTGTGCTGATGTAGAGAACTGCTATATATACAAATGTGGGACCAAAAGGGATGTTTTTATGTAAATAAAAAGACAGATTGTTGAAAATAATCCAGAACAGTTTGATGATTGTGTACGTGTACAGGGAGGTTTTCTGCTTTTGCTTCAGACTGCAGAAAAATATAATTGTAGCTTTTTGGTTTCTTATTTTTGAAGCCTGGAGTTTGGGTTTGGCACAAAATCATCATTGGGGCAACAGTTGTTGTTTTTTTTTTTTTTTTTTTTTTTTTTGCTGCGATTTGTGGAAACAGCCACATTAGAAGAATTGAGTCTGGTATTTCAAGTAGTATGAATTAAACCATAAAATGTTTTACAGTCTTTCTTGAAAGTTCATTCTGGATCTTGGAAACAGTAGTCAAGAAAATTTCATCACAAGTTCAATTTAGTTGTTTTGGAAACTGAAGTATTTTACCATACTTACTCGGGGAAGAAAACAAAGACAACTGTGTCATGGAAACATAAATACAATAAGCAGCAACTTCCCTTTTCAACTTTGAACAACACTACTTACTGTTCTGTTTAATTTCCAAATATGCTATATGGATACACCACTGGACTCAAGTCAGCTCAATAGGGCATGGTGGTGATACTGGTGTGTGCCTTTCAACAATTAAGTTGGTGAGTCAAAAACTGTCAAAAACTACAAAAAAAACTATTTTAAATCTTTTTTTTTTTTTTTTTAAGGACCTGTGTGTAGGGTTTAGTGGCATCTACCAGTGAAGTTCTGGCCAGGCTCCAGCGGCATTAGATGAACTGCACTATAAGTCACATCTGCAGCAATGGTTGTCTCGCTTGCACATGCATTCTGTATGCGTATACATGTACCTGGTCAGAGCACCAGTACCAGGTGGCCAGTATGGTGAGTCCAAGAGTCATGCCGGGCCAGGGCAGGTCTCCAGTGACGGCGTCTCTGAAGAGGTGCATGGCGTCCTGACGTGGCAGGTGGCAGGTACTATTGGGAATGATCTTACTGGGTATCGCCATGCTGTACACATGCTCAAGGTTGCTGTAGCCGCCAATCTTGTTGAAGGCTGTAGACCAGAAACACACAACTCCCAACTATACAATCCTTAAAATAACTGCAGTTGTTGTGTTTATTTAAAAAATATGATGAGCGTACAAACCAGTGATTGTTAGGATGATTGCTCCTATAATCATGACAAATGTCTGTAGAGTGTCGGTGTAGATGACAGCAGCAAGACCACCTGAAAGGAAGAAGTAGGAAGGAGTGTGTGTGATGGAAATCTTTCAGTATAAGCAGACAGGTGGCAAACACACACATGCACACAGATAATAGAAGTACTGATTGAACTTGTTTACTCAAGTAACAGTGAAAAAGTATAGAAGTATAAAGTACTCTCTTGGTTTCTCTGGAGGACATTTATACCGACTGTTTTTGTGCAAAGCTGAAACTTCTGGTTGAGTCTCTCTCCTTTGTCTGTCTCTTCTTGTTACATCTTTGATGTTGTTTTCATCATGTTATATCTGTCATGAGTCATATGCAGTGTCCTTTGTGTTTGGAAGGCGTGCAGTGATGCAAAATAAAAATTAAAGCTGTAAGCAGCGTTGGGTGGGACCTCGCACTCCATGCAACTCGGGGCGTGCTGCGGCCGCGTCACGTGCCATCGTAACAAGTGCCGACCACAACATGAAAATCTCACGTAAATTAGCTCAAAATCGCCACGCAGCACTTACTTCCTGTTGCCAGTAGGTGGCGCTATCACTCTGTCCAAATGTTGTCATGTAGACATATTCAAGGCGAGAGTGTTAACAAACACGTGAAGTTTCACTGAGATTGGACATTGCACACTGAAGTTATGAGTGCTGTTTTATGGCGAATCTGCTGAAATTGACAAGTTGTCACTGGCACGCGGTTTGACGTACAGTCACAAATAGCTCAACTTTTCAGTTTGTATGACCACAGAATTCAAAATGGCCAACTTTGACCTCACGCCACAGAAACTTTTAATCAGCACCATTTTTTGACTGTACTGACCAATTTTGAAGTAGATCCGATAAATTCCCTAGGAGGAGTTTGTTCAAATACAAGGCGAAAAATCACAGAAAATGTGCACGGAATTCAAAATGGCCAACTTTGACGGCACGCCACGGACACACCCGTCAACGTACATGCACAAATAGCACACCTTTTAATCAGAACCATTTTTTGACTGTGCTCACAAATTTTGAAGCATATCCAATAAATTCCATAGGAGGAGTTCGTTCAAATACAACGTGAAAAGTTCGCCGAAGGTGAAAATGAAAATCAAAATGGCCGACTTCCTGTGGGGTTTCGGGTATGGGTCCAAGAGGCTTTTTTGTACGTCCCGGCATGTTACACGTGCCTACCGAGTTTCGTACTTATCGGTGAAACGTGGCGCCAGGGTTGCTGTTTTTTTATCCTGTAGGGGGCGCTACACACACGACAAACACGATTTTTGGTATGTGAGCTCCAGGCAGCACTCTACACGTGCCCTGTGAATTTCATATTCATAACTATTACGGTCTCCGCACAGTGATTTATCATGCCACCAGAGCGCCACCTAGTGGCGTATTTTTTTTGTCCTTTTTATGTGAGCCTCAGGGAGCCATGGGCAAGCATGGGAACAAGTTTCATTTTAATCACACATGCCGTTGCAGAGATATAAACTTCTTCATTTTAAAGAGCGCCACCTTGTGGCGATGACCTGAAATTGTGCACGATGCCTAAGAAAGACATGTGTAACTATGGACCCAAGTTTGGTGACAATCGGATATAGCAATGTGGAGAAATGGTCCACTTCCTTTTTTGACGAAAAATCCTGAGGAAGTGTTAATTTTATAACGTGCTTATTTTTTTTCAATTACTTCAATTACTCATCAATTACTTTTTTATTAGGATGGTCCTCAGATGCTACGCGAAAAAATTTGTGCGAATCAGACAAAGCGCATGGGAGGAACACGGAAAAGTAGTTTATGGACATTTTGCGCTCTAGAAAAAAAAATTCTTGGCGGAAGTGGGCGGGGCTTACATGGGGAGATTCAGCTCTATTCACCGAACGCGTGGATACAAGGTTTTTGAATGTGCAACAAACTATGCAGAAGTTATTAGCCTAAATGCATTTTTTATGATAGTAGTGCCACCTAGTGGCCAACCTGAAAGCAACACAGAGAATATCCCCATTTTCACCAGGCCTGACAACTTTGCCAAATAAAATTGAGTTTTCGTATATGTTCAGGGGGCTAAAAATAATAGGTAAGAAGAAGAAATCGAGCAAAAACAATAGGGACCTCCAGCGGTCGCTGGCTCAGTCCCTAATAAAAATCTAATTTTCCTCCTCAAATACATTAAATCTAAAGTAACAAGCCTGTTTTTAAAATGTAAGGAGTTGAAAATACAGATATTATGTTACTTCCCACCTCTGTAAGCCGACCACATTCCAGTCTACCTAAAAGGGACAGAATTAGCTATACTGAATGTAATTGTATATGTGTGTGAGGTTGTTTGTATACCTGCAATAGTGTAAAAAGCAGTGACCACCAGCATGAGGACGGTGGACAGGTAGAGGTTCCACCCCAGACAAACCTGAACAAACAAGGCTCCAGAGTACAGGTCAGTCTGGTGACGGAAACACAACACATCTGTCAGCAATGCCAGCAAAGATTCAACCTCACATCAGATCATGTTGCTAAATGGTGAAAAAGTGTAGTGTCATACTGATATCTTTGTGAAGATGGACAACAGCAGCGAGAGGACAGCCAGGTAGGTTCTGATCCTCTCTCCTCCGAAACGACGGCCCAGGTATTCTGGCATCGTCACGATCTGAACACACACATTTTAACATCTTCAACACACCACAGCTACACAGAGGAGGCAAACATTGGAAGCTGTAGGTGACTTTCAGAGCTCAGCATGATCTGCCAATTAGCTGCTGGTGACTGTGGACTTCCCCTGTTTTTAATATAAGTATGTACCAACAAATAGAGTCATTTATGTTCTTGTTATTTAAGGACAGGTGTGTGTGTGTGTGTGTGTGTGTGTGAGAGAGAGAGAGAGTGCATGTGTGAGGTGTAACACCCTGTTGAGGAATTTCCAAGGTGTCTCATGTCTCTTGGCACTGAAATGTACCTGCTGAACCAGCCTTTACAAGCAGACTGGATTCCCATATGTGTGTGTGGGTGTGGGTGTGTGTGTGTGTGTGTGTGTGTGTGTGTGGGTGTGGGTGTGTGTGTGCGTATGGGTGTGTGTGGGTGTGTGTGTGTGTGTGTGTGTGTGGGTGCAAACTAACCCCAGAGGAGATGTAGACAGGCACAAATACCCAGGCCAGAGCCAGCAGCACATAAGTGGCCTGTGAGAATGAAGTAAAAGAGATAGAAAGAGGTTGTTTGACCAGATTGACCAGTCCCCTGAGGTGGGAAAAATTCAAGTCAAGTCAAACTGAGGTAAAACTTCTAGCTTTAAAAGGTCTGCAAGCACATGTACAAGTTGCTGTGGACTGACTCCTGCCACATGTACTCTACACTACCCTAATACAGCTGGATGGCATATATAAAAACCTTTCACCCGCTGCCACCTGCAGCAGGTTGCCTGCAACAGCTGCTTAGACACAAACGCACACTGTCCAAGCAGTACGCCGTGTTTTCTCACATAAATAGTTTGTGTTAGTCAGGCCAATTAATACTACACGCCACAAAAGAAATAACATTTACATGGATTAGAAGGCCAGCCCTGCCTCAATCTAGACGATAATGTGTTTACTTAATATGAATAGATAAATTAGAATAGCATGTCATAATGTTTTATTAAGTGAATGAACTCACGTTCCATTCAAAGCCAGCGACAGCGATGCCTCCAGCAGCTCCAGTCCCAGCCAGACCAATGAACAAACCGGAGCCTTCTGAACTGGCAAAGAGAGACGCTCCAATCTGTGAAAAGTATTCAGATCTTTTTAGTAAAAGCATCAAAAGAACAACGTAAAAATACAACTCCTGCATTCAGATTCTTACTTAAGTATTAGCAGTAAATGTTCTTCAAGTGTCAAAAGTAAAAGTACTCATCATAAATTTATCATGTTATGATGTTTTAAATGCTGGTGCATCAATGCATAAGCAGCAATTTACTGTCAAGGTGTAGCTAGTTTTAACTGCTTAAATTTAGAGTTAGGTAGTTAAGTCCAGTGGTTCCCAATCTAGGGGTCGAGGCCCCTTCGATGTCCCTTCTAAATCTCATTAGATGACTAAAGGACAGGGAAGAAGAAAATAAAGAAAAATTCCTATACGCAAATGTATAATAATTTGTTTGACTTTTATCTTTAACCTCTTGGGGCCTCAAACATTTATTAAATTTAAACCATCTGAGAGGTTTAGAGGGGAAATCTCTCTTTGGTGTAACTGCTAACAATTCATTAGACTCTGAAACGTCCCCAAGCAGACACAAACCAAAAAGGTTAATGTAAAATCTGACAAGTAATTAGCTAAATGTGATGTAATAAAAAGTTATTACATTATTCACATTATTATTGATTACTGCATCAGAGCTGAGTACTCACTTACTTCTTACACCCCTTAGTAACAAGAAGGCCTTGTGAACCCCATGAAGCTTTGGTGACCCCTAATGGGGGTCCTGAACCCCAGGTTGGGAACCAGTGATACATACTATCATTAAATAGAATCCACAGATTACATTAAGTATACAGGATTCATATATATTTTGCTTAGTCTGTCCTGTGTAACACACCAGCAGTCTGTCTGTGCTCAGGGTTGCAAAATATCAGTATTACTAATTTACAATCATATCCAGAGTTACTGATATTTGCAAACAAGGACTGCTGCTTGATCAGATTATCAGAAGAAGCTTTTCATCCAACTGCACAAGAATTAGAAACGTCTCTTCATCCACAACATTAGTCGGGTCAGACTCACCGGCCACCAGGCCATGTCCCGTCCAGCCAAGAAGTACCCGCTCAGAGTATTCCTGCTCACCCTGCATGATGACTGACAGAGAAAAACTGTTACATCTGAGCACACACATACACACACACACACACAGGCAAATAAATACATATACACCTCTGACTCTTACCCAGATGCCAACGGCGAGGTTGAGAAGAAAGTAGGTTGCTATGACGATAATATCAGAGAAGCTGAAGGACTGAGGGTGTTCGTAGAAGTTGATGGTGGAGTTAGACATCCTCAGAGTTCACAGCAATGCACACAGACTTAAAAATACACCAAAAATCATACACACAGACACACACATACGCACACACACACACCTGTTGAATCTAACCCTTACACCTGTGCAGTCAGTCTCATCAACCCTCTCTCATAATCTGACACCGCAGGCCAACTTTGCAAACACCCTGAACAACAAGAAGAACACATCACACTCCCTAGAAACCACCAGACAGTCTCGTGAAGAACATCAGCCCTTTAAATGCTCACTTCTCTTCCAACACATAAAAAAACTAACATGAACACACACACACACACACACACACACACACACACACACAGACAGACTCACACACACACTCCAGCCCTTGGTTAAAGTCCCTTCTCGGCTGAACTACAAGCTGACCTCGCTGCTGCAGAAAGCTTGACAGCTCGGGTGTTTCGTGTATGTGTGAAGAGGGCAGTCCCTTGGTTGAATTGATGATTAAACACATCACCTTAATGTGGCACCTGCAGCGCTGACACACATGCTGTGCTAGGGGATAATGGAGTGCGTGGTATGGGTGAGCAGTGGAGTACAGCAGATGCTTGTGTGGACCAGAGTCCACGCTGATGCCCACACACACACAGATGGTCAATCATTGGCGGTGACAAGTTTCTAATCATTAGCGTCCAAACACACAAACATCTGCTGGTAAGTGCTGTAGGGTCAGTGAAAGTGTGTGAGAGAGAAAACAGGTGGTTTCCTTAACTGTAGAGACAGATTAGTGTGGACACAAGTTTTTATTCAATTAAGAGTCTTTTTCTTCAAATAAATAAATGTTTCAGGATCAATCCATTCCTAGATTTCCATTATTAACTGATGTTGGACACAAATACAGTTTTGGAATACAATCCTACCATATATGCTTTTTGGATGAGTGCTACAGTTTCCAATTTAAGAATTGAGCCTGATCTGCTCTATTTTACTGTAAGTGATAGATGTTTGATCATGTACTTTTTTTTTACTTTTTAAACATGTCACAGCAGCTCTACTGAGAAATTATGTTTGAGATTTAAGTTTAGTTTAAGTTAAGAGCTTGCACACAACGTATCGAGTCTTTACCGCAGTGACCCGGGTTCTTCTGCCTCTCTCCAGCTGTCAGTATCCAATAGAGCAGAAAAAATACTTATATTTTAAAAAAGAGAAGCATTTGCAAGCACACATTTCTAAGTACAAGATTTTTGGGAAATTTTGGGGATGGAAGGGTTTGTATTAAAGTTTTAAGGGAAATATCACCCTAAAACAAAATCCTCCTAATAGTCATATGACTTTTTAAATCACTCACTTGTACATACTATGTGTACAAAACACTGCTACCTTTCAAAATAGTTATATTGATTTAAACTGTTCAGAAGACATAACAGATTTAACATCACCTTTATAAACTAACGGTTTATAACGGTGGAAAGCACCTTGCTGAAGGCTTAATGGTTGAAAACATTTGAGAATAAAACATGGTATACTAGAGTGAAGTGCACTTCTTTAATTCTAATGCACTTGTATTTAAACACTATGTTTTTTTTCACTCAACACATCTGGATATTTTTTACTCAGCGTGCATGTGAGAGGACGTGAAGTCCGAGAGGAAGAGACAAAGCGAGCTGAGTGAGTTTTCCTTTCGTGCTCCCTGATGTGAAATTAACTCGGTGTCACACACAAACTGCTGGTCAGTGTTTGTCTGCTGTAAGGAGCAGATGGCGGCGACAGAGGCATCCTGACGTCACACACATCATCATCAATCTCACACACAGAACAAAATGTAAAAGCTTAAGATGAAGATGAAGATGAAGATGAAAATGTATAGAAAAAAAGTCAAGAGAATGAATAAGAATTACTTTGTATCGTTAGAATTTAAGGGAATATTTTATGTTACATATATTTAATTTGTAATTTTGAAATTTTGAACATTGCTTATTCCAATACATGGCAAATACAAGAAAACCACAAGACACACATCTTTATACATTAATTATTCTTATTTAATATAACAAAACAAACACAAGCTTACTTCAAATGTTCAGAGAGAATTTAAACAAGCTACAGATCAAAAAAGACTAAAACTCCCATTTTAAATGTGTGAAAGATTCATTACATTGCAACCAAACTGTTTAATCATTAATTATATTAAAATCTTAAGGGAAAATTCACCCTGAATAGAATCCGCCTTTATTTCGAGTTACTGAATGTAAATTAATATTCCTTTTATATGTGTTACAAGCACAACCCTACATTTAAACAGCATTAAAACCAACACTTGTTGGGGATTAAACAAAAAAAATAACTTTATTAAGCTTGTTCAAATAACAAACAGGCATCATTAAGATGTTAAGCATACCTAACAATGAAGCCAAGCAGCATATATAAACAGAAAATGTAAAAAAAAAAGGAAAAAAGGATAAACAAATAACCAAAACAAATAAACAAACAAAAATCAAAAACATAGGTTACATTTAATTAACTTAATCAGGATATACCGCAAGTATTTCAGAGAGTCTCAAGGCACTTCTCTTTTCCATTCGTCTTTTATAAATGCCACAAAGCTACACTTTACCTGTACCTACATTTACCTATAATGAAAATATTATTACACTAAAGCCCATGGAGTCATTAATTATCAGTGGTTCAACGGCAAAAGAAAGCAAATCTGACAATTTCTGGCAAAAAATCTGCTTCCCACAGAGAAAAATCTTCATCCAAGGAAAGTATATAAGTATGCAAATTAAGAGCCAAACCTAATAAGGACATAACAACAACAACAACAACAACAACAAGACATAACAATGATAGATAGATAGATAGATAGATAGATAGATAGATAGATAGATAGATAGATAGATAGATAGATAGATAGATAGATCGATAGATAGATAGATAGATAGATAGATAGATAGATAGATAGATAGATAGATAGATAGATCGATAGATAGATAGATAGATAGATAGATAGATAGATAGATAGATAGATACTTTATTTATCCTGAGGGAAATTAAAGTACAAAATACAAAAAACATACATTACATACATTAAACATACATTAAACTAAAAACCATAACCCTAAGAATAAAATAAAAAATAAAATAAAAGATAAAATTTAAATAAAATTAACTTATAACATATATAATTAAAATTAACAGTAGCTACAGTAAAAAGTGAAACAATAAAAATAAAAGTAAAAGTAATAAATGTACGGATATTAATAAAAGTTAAATAAAATTAATAATAAAATACAATAAAAACACAAATAAAACCCACTAAAGTTATAATTAGAAACCTCATTAAGATTCAATGGGCTGTCGTTTGGCGCCACCCTCGGGCCAGATGTTTACATTGGGTTCGCGGTGCATGCTGGGGAGTCAAGTTCTGATGAGCCAATCAGAGGACGGAGGACTCTCCTCACCCGGAAGTAATACATCACAACAACAAAAAAATTGCCGGGAAAATCTGCTCCGCCACAGCTGCTGCTGGAGTCCCTGAAGGAGACATTCAGGAGGAAAGTGTCTTGAGTGTCTTTAGAGGGAATCACTCACCGTGTCTGCGCTTCTATCCGGTACCTGTTCGGGCCGATATGGACGAATACGACGAACTGTTCGAGGTACCGGACGACTTCGACGACCAGTTCGCCGACGAACTGGACGCGTTGGCTCAGATGGAGGGTAAAGGGCAGCTTCCAGACTGTTGTAGGAGCTTTACACAGCATTTGGTTGTAATCTTGAGTTGAAACAGTTGTTATTGATCCGTGAACGTCATGATAAATCTATAACGTTGGATACAAACACTCACAGACCTCTGATACTAATATATATTAATATATATATATATATATATATATATATATATATATATTAGTTGTTGTCCTTTATGTCAGACTGCCTTATCGTCAGCTCTCAGGTTGGATAAATCTAACTTGGCACTCACTTTGGTAGGAAACAAATATAATTATGTAATAAATGACTAATACTTCACTTAATTACTAGTTTAAAGGTTGAAAAAAATCTAATTAATCCTCATTGTCTGACACTAGATAACAATATGTGACTCTATAACAGTAAAAAAAAAAATCAACATATTTAATTAATTAAAGAGAATATTGATTATTAAACATATTCGGAATTATTTTTCTATTCATTGTGTTGCCAGTTGATCACTTCTGTGTTGATTGTTTGTGTTTTGAACGGTTTAGACGAGTCCTCCAAGCTGGGCAGTCGTCAGAAACCGGGTCCAGGAGACGATATCTCCGACATAGAGCACCTCCTGGTTGATCAGCCCATCAGTGAGTTCACTGGGAGGGTACATGGGTGGGGGGGGTTTCACCTTGTTGTGGTTATTTAATGCCGTAAGTTTGAACCTTAAATGTGATCTTTCTCCTTGCAGCCCCGAAGGCGAAGCGGCAGAAGCAGGATGCGGTGCGAGTGTCCAAGCGACTGTTCAACTCGCTGCAGACTCAAGAGAGCAAAGCCCCGTCACAGAGTGATGACATCACACCGCCGTCGTCCCCAGAGCAGTACGAACCCTCTCGCACCGCCAGGTAGGAGGTTACAACGGGTACCACTACGGTTGTGGCTCAGGAGGTAGAGCAGGTTGGGTCCTCTGGTCAGGTGATGGTCAGGTCAGCATCCTGCGTGTTAGCTGACAGTGAAACAGTTGATGTGAGGGAAAAGGAGACATCAGTAGAAGGCAGGTGTGGATCTTTTTACAGAGGATACTTTGTTATGTATCTGGTGCATTAATGGGAATGAAAAAACATTTTATTGTAACTGCATCCACATAGAGTTAAAGAAAGTAAATGTGGTTGAAAATAAGCAATGAAAAGACATTCTGATGCAGGAACACTCAAATAAAATAAATAAATAAATAAATAAAAAAAACCTGATAAGAGTCACTTAAAAGCGAAACATCACAAGGATGAAACATAGTAGTGTACTATATATAGAGACCCAGAAGCACTCCTGGCTGAGTAACAGCTGCAGCTGGTGACACGTCACCTGTGTCGACTATTGAACTACCTTTTTGTTCTTTACCTTTAAAGTCTGTCTTTTTTTATATTTGCTTTTTGAGCCCTTAAAACGTCATCTGTTGTATTCTAGTGGTTTCCAGGCGCTCCTCGTTTTGATACCGAATAGAGCTGCTGAATTAATTTAAATATTACAGAAATGTGTGAGACAACAACATTGTAATAAAGTACTGTAGTTCTGCAGAGATACTCATTGGCCTTTTAATTAGTTTGGTACGCACCCCAACACATGTTACATCATGATTTTAATTGTTTTATTAAGTGGAACTTAATGTTGTGGGGGAGGGATTGATTTACAAGATTTATATATAGACTAAATTAATTTAATGTTTTCTTCTAACGTTACTGACATATTATGGATATGTATCATTATTCACATTTTCACAATATATCAAAATATAGTCATATATTTAAAACAAATCAATAAATTACAAATATTTTAGATTGCAGTCTTCGATACAACAGATCTCTGAACATGTATTGTGTGTTTTAGGTCTACCCCAGCCGTGTTGGATATCAGTGGCTTTGCTACAATCCCAGAGACACCCAGGCGACCTCCCACAGCGGCGCCAGCGTCACTGCATGTGCTGAGGCGGCCTCCTTTAGACGGAGAGTACATCAGTGTGACAGACTCATCAGGGAGTCGGGTCTACCTCAGACAGAAAGACGACACAGGGACAAAGGTTATTCATCTGTGATTATGTCACATTATAAACCCTAATTCATTGTTCACATACAAATGTCTTGTGTCTGATGCTTTATATGTTTAATTCCTGTATTTCTTTGCATTTACTTGTGTGTGTCTCCAGGTAGTGGAGTCCAGAATGGTACCAAACTCCCAGGGTGCACTGGGGCTGCTTGCAGTGCCAATCAGTGTAATGAGAGAACAAGAAGCAGAGAGGGTGAGTGATTTAAAGCTGCTTTTGTTTTGTATAATCTGCCAAGTAGACTCCACATAACCACACTGTTCATTCTCAGTCATCACATGTACTTAATCAGTTTCCCTAAATCCAAATATTTGAGTTTATTTAGCCAAATACAAAGTTTTGAGGCCAAAACATCAAACTGTATGCAGACAGTAATTCACTTTATTTGTGGATGTACCTGTCGGATGGATTTCAGATGTCCCATATGTTGGTGCATGTATCTAGTGAAATCTGAGGCTGTTGACATTTCAAATTTGTTTACATTTCACACAGCATCACCATCGGGTTGTGGAAGAATCTCAGCGTCTTTCAGAGCTGCTGGCCAGGTAACTCACCACCTGTTTCTCTCTCACATTCACACACTGACAAATCTGATTACATTGCAGTACGTGTTTTTTTAAAATTTCTTCTTGGATTCGTGTCGCACACCAGCAGTGTGAACGATGTGTTTGTTGAGCCTGAAAGCAGAGAGGATAAAGAGAACGATGATCCTGAAGACACAGAGGGTCAAACCTCTCGACTCTGGGTGGACAGATTCTCTCCCCGACACTACACAGAGCTCCTCAGTGATGATGTAAGTAACTCTGTGTGATATGACAATATATGACATGTGACGGTAGATAAAAACATCTGTCCTGAATTAGGATAATCGTGAATATCCTCACATGACTTGACTTGAAAAAGCTGTCTAGCTCGCCAGCATACAGTTTAATTATTGATTTCCAGATTTACTTTGAACATTGGGGACAAGGGGGAGCGTGCATTGTTCCATTGTACACTATGGCTGAAGGCTCGGCTTGTCCGTTGTTTCCCCCCACAGAGAAATGTAAACAGGATGTGTGGAAATTTCAAAATACAGAACAGGAAGATGATCTGTGATGCAATAAATACGTGTTTCTTAACAAAATGTAATATGTAAAACCATGTCAATATCGTGTAATGCAATTATTTTGGCCAAATGCCCACTCACAAACTACTTTGATCTGCTCACCTTGCTTTCTCTCTCCCACAAACACACACACACACACTCCCGCCGCCCGTCTCTCCAGTTGTATATTTTTAAAAACACAAGTCATGTTTTGGGTTTTTCACCCGCAATTCAGTTTTCACAAAAGCAGACGAGCCTCACATGGAGCAGACTTGTTGTTAATGTGGAAGTCAAATCAACGTGGCACTGAACGTTTTACCTGCGCCGTGCTTATAAAATATCCATCGTCTCCGAGGACCAGATAAATCTTTTCTCTTTGTGTTTCTCTGCAAAATGCTTAAATGGGTCGCTGGATGTTGAAATACCTTGGTGGCCCTGCCAAGTAAATTCTTATGTGGGGAAACACTGAGACATTAATATTTTATATTTTGGTACATGGTCAATTTAAATTTTGCATAAAGGTTCAGAATAAAAGGAGAAAAACAATCAAATATGAGTAAATACATCTCATTTGTTGAGTATATCATTCAAAATGTAAAAAGAGTTTTCATGTGATTATTTTATTTAAACTGTTTATTCATTGAATTTAGAGAAAATATGCTGTATTGCGATATATTGTGACATTGGGATATGAAATCACCCATATTCTGTGTAACTGACTTCCATTAAGTATCCTACATTGATGCCAGTTGTGTGTGGCTGTCTCATTGTAGTTTACCAACCGCTGTCTGCTCAAGTGGTTGAAACTCTGGGACACTGTTGTGTTCGGAAGAGAGAGGAAGTCCCGCCCTGCCCGGTTTGACCGACAAGCTCCCAACCAGAACTCATTCAAACCCAATCAAGCCAATCCGAACCCGAATCGCTTCAAGAGTAAGATTGAGGTGACAGAGGAGCTACTGGAGGCTGAACTGGACCAGTACAAACGACCTAAATATAAGGTGAACACATCTGCACACTCAGTACAATTTCAGTTTAATGACTTTTAGTTGAAATACATGATATCATTTATTTTGGTCTTTCTCTAGGTGGCATTGTTGTCTGGCCCTCCAGGTTTGGGGAAGACCACCCTGGCTCATATCATTGCAAAGCATGCTGGGTACAATGTGGTGGAAATAAATGCCAGGTTAGACGAGCCATATTAACAACTGACCCAATAATAGTAGTGAATCATAAAAATTTGTTCATAGTAATCCTAATGTTTGCCTCAGCCGTACTGTCGATGTTTTTGCAGTGACGATCGCAGTGCGGAAGTGTTCCAGAAACGCATCGACACAGCGACGCAGATGAAGTCAGTTTTAGGAGCCAATGAGAGACCGAACTGCCTCATTATCGATGAGATTGATGGAGCACCCGCGGTATGTTCTGGACATTTAAAATAAAAAAAGAACGATGATAAAAGTGTTAATTCACTCTTCAATCGTAGTTATAAATGTTTTTCTTTTCGACTGTGGTGTTCGACAGGCTGCAATCAACATTCTGTTAGCAACTCTGAACAAGAAAGACGGACACGGCGGGGAGGCTGGTTCAGAGACTGCGAAGAAGAAAAAGAAGAAGGAGTCACTCCTGCTTCGACCAATCATCTGCATCTGTAACGACCTGTAAGAGACACTGTGGTGTTTAACAGCATCAAAATCTGATTCTATTTTATTTTGTTATTTGTTTATGTTTCCTTTGGTAAGAAGTAATGGCGAAAGGTAAAAAGGTGCCTGCAAATAAATGCTAACAGTTGATAAGAAGAGGGCAGGATTTGGCTGCGAACAACAAAGACTATACAAATAATGAGATATAAAATGTATAGAAACTGCTGTACTGCATTTTTTTGTTAAATTAAAATATTACCCCTGATGTAAATTATCTTAGCCGTAGTGCTGATTTAGAGTTTTCTATGCAGCCATTATCTGATCCTCTCTTTTCTTTTAGTTATGTTCCAGCTCTCAGACCTCTCAGGCTGCAAGCCTTCCTCCTGAATTTCCCCCAGACTCAGCCTTCCCGCCTCGCGCAGAGACTGGCAGAGGTCAGCGCACACACACACACACACACGCACACACACACACACACACACACACACACATAGAGGAGTACACAAGCATCTCTGAACACCCTAATAATCCATGTCTACATTCATTTTCTGTTTGCAGATCTCACTCCGGCAGGGGATGAAGGCAGACACAGGCAGCCTCATGTCGCTGTGTGAGAAGACGGACAACGACATTAGGTCTTGCATCAACACCCTGCAGGTGGGTGGCGGCACTGTGAAGGAGAGTCTGTGGATTGCATGAGGAGTTCAGTAGTATGCAGTATAATTATATCACATTATGTGTTCTTGTCTGTACAGTTCCTCCATGGTCGCGGCCACAAGCAGGTGGACAGCAAAACCATCCAGTGTATCTCTGTGGGGCAGAAGGACCAGAACAAAGGCTTGTTCCATCTGTGGCAGGAGATCTTCCAGTTACCGCGTATAAAACGGTAAAGTGTGTCTCCGTTTGTCATGAAATTGTAAATGTTGTGCTGTATTTGCTGGATACTTTCTTTTTCTGGAAACACATTCACTATAAGCATCCAAAGTTCAGGTTTTCAAACATTTTGAAATGAAGCACCGATTCTGTAAAAGATTTGATGCTGCTGTGCTTCTACGACTATACAGAGTCCCTGCGTTTTCATTGGGATCCATCTTAATTTTTACTTACTGATAACACCAACAGGGAAATCTGAAACTATGTGCTAGTCTTGAAAAGTCTTAAAAAGCATTGATTTCAGTTTCCTAAAAAAAAAAAAAATTAATTATTATAAATATTATTTTACAAAGATCAAAGCAATAAAAATAGTTATCAAATGTTTTCATATGCGATTGTTGCAAAAACTGTCCCCAGTATATTTCTCTTCCAGACCTTCTGACCTGATGTGAAATATGTCGACCTTAAATAAGTCATCCTTCCATCTTTTGTCTTTCTGTTGCTCATCCAGCTTTGGTTTCAAGATATTGTTAGAAATTATTGTTTTATACTGGTGGAAAAACTGTGATTCAAGTGCGAATAAATCTTCTATATCTAATAATCTCTCTTACTTTGGCTGGTGTGATCTTGAATCGGGTATTAAATGCCATTCATGTGGCAGTCGTGAATGTTACTTGGTGAACGCTGCAGAAACCCTGTTTGTTTTATGATCTGTGAGCCTTAATGAAGAGCAGTAATCATAAACGCAATACAATCTATAACCTCTTATCTGTTACCTCTCGCTGCTTCTTCGGCCCTAAATAATTAGATTGCAACTCAATGTTTAAATTTGTTCTTTCAGGAAACGTATTGGTCAAGGTTTTGAGGAGGCACCAGGTTCAGGCGGTGGAGCTCAGAGGTTTCAGCACATTCTGAACTTGGCTTACTCTAGTGGCGAGTATGAAAAGGTTTCTCAGGTAATGAACATTTTATTGAAATGAATATAAAGAAAACACTTCCCCGTGCTTTACTAGCATTGAACTGAACCATCTGTCTCTTTTCCTCAGGGTCTGTATGAAAATTATCTGTCCATGCGTGTGAGGGATCCCAACCTGCAGAGTGTGTGTGAGGCTCTCGATTGGCTGTCGTTTTCTGACCGTCTGAACCAAGTGATTCTGCACGGGCAGAACTTCTCCCTGATGAGATACCTGCCCTTCCTGTCAGTCACGTTCCACTTCCTGTTTGCCCACACACACGTGCCCCGCATCAGCTATCCCCACAGTCAGCATGAGGTACTTATCAACTACAGTCACCAATGTGTAGAAGAACTCAAGTAACAGCACAATATATTACATGAAGACAGATAAAGTTACAGATCAATAAAAGCAAAAATGATTAAGAGAAATGAGATGAAAAGTTTTTTTGGCAGGAAAATCTGGGTAATAAGAACTGAGGTATCATCACTGAGTCATTATTGTCTCCTCTCCAGGCTGCCTCCCGGCTCGTCAGCTGCAAGAACGCTTTGTGTACCATGTTGGCTGACATCCCAGCATGCATCAGAATGAGGATCAGCCAGCTCAGCCTGACCCTCGATATGCTCACGCTGCTCCTCGACATCATCTGTCCCAAACTACGGCCTGTATGTATAAGAATGTACAGTCTGTATGTGTTTGTGTGTTATGAGGCTTTTCCACCACCTTAGTATGGTACGGCTCTGCTCGACTCGCTCTTTTTCCCACTGTGGATAGTACCTGGTACTTTATTTAACCTCAGTCGAGGTTCCAGGGGAGTTGAGCTGATGCTAAAAAGTGATGTGAAAACACTGCAGACCACTGATTGTCAGAGGGAACCGACACAAAATCGACACGGGACAATCCTGGAATAGCAACTACAATTTATTTAGTCACTCAAAAACTGCCATTTTGTTTTTCTATGGCAGTGCAGTTTAACATTCAGTTTTTTAGTTAATTATATTGCGTATAGCGTAAACTTTCATTGCAACTAATAATAAACCCTGTGTGTTTGTTCCAGGTGAACCCGCAGCTGTTCAGCAGCAGAGAGAAAGAGCAGATGCGTGAGCTGATCGACACCATGCTGGCATACAACCTCTCATACAGGCAGGACCGCACGCCCGAGGGACAATACGCATACATGCTGGAGCCGTGAGTACACACACACACACACACACACACACACACACACACACACACACACACACACACACGCTGCATATTACATGTGGACTCCTGCAGAGCAGAGATGTGTTTCTGGGGTGTTGAAGGTCACTGCTCTTGTCCACACTGTGGTTCTCTGCATGGAGGCTTAGAGAGTAATCCTTTTTCCACCTGGTGTGTGTATGATGGTAGTGGTGTGGGAGCAGAGTAGCAAGCTGCAAAGCCTCACTGGTGGGGTACAGGTGGATGGACAAGCGGATCAATGGATGGATGAGTGAGGTTGGAAATATTAGAGCAGGGAAATTGGGAGGGATGAAGTTTAGATAAAGTGATCTGAGATATTGAAGCATGTTGCAATAAAAGATAAAAACTGAAAGGATCAGAATTTACCACATTTTGGTTCAAACTTGTGCTACGCTTTAGCTTCGTTTATGTTGGACCTTTGACTCCTGAGGACAGTGGAGACTCTGGTGTTGGTAGAATGGAATAACTAGACGTGCATCTCAGCCATGCCGGACCAGACTGAGGAGCGGTCGGGCGCCCGCGGGGGCTCCCTCCTGCAGGCTCGCTGTGACCAAGTGCTGGTCACCAACGACTGGTGCCTGCCTCTGGTGTTGGCTCTTCTTCTGCTTCTGCTGATCTACACCTTCCTGTACCTTCCCTCTCTGGCTCACCACAACACCACTCTCTGATACCTCGTGGAGAAAGACTAGGAACGCAACAGTGAATGTAAACGTTTAAATTTGCAGACGGCGGATACGCCCAATCCCAGCAGGATTATTTGATTGGACTGCTCTTTTTTTGGGACACTGTTGTTGATTGGTCAGACTTTGGCAGAATTATTAATTTTGTCTGGTTTTAGGAGGCTGTGAGTAGGTAGAGACATGTGGAGAAGAAGAGCGGGAAAGATTAGGTGAATTCACTTTGTTCATTACAAATCATTCTCTTTTTGGAGCCAAAGGACATTTTGGACAACCTATAACCATCATGTGCTTTAACGTGGAACTTTTATCTCATCTGTTATTGTCGTCTGACAACAAATGAACGCAGTCACTACATTTGCAGTAATATTTGTACAATCTTGATATCTGAGAATGAATGTGAATATAGTTTAACATTTCTAAATAATTAACAGAGCTAAATGTAAGTAACTTAAGGTTAAATAAATGTACCTTGAATGTACTTAAGTCTATGAATTATACTTGGCTGTCATAGAGGATGTAGTTGTTTGTGCTTTCAGCTCTAATAACTAACCAGATAACTGTAAATGTGTTACCCAAAGGTTAAACTACTTAATATTAGCTGCACAGTGCATTATCCATCATGTTAAAGGGGAAGATGAACCAGTCAAGCGTCTCTTTGTTTGAGTTTGATGATAACACGTCATATATTTTATATAACTTGCAATAAATCGCTCACAGTCACATAGATTGGTATTATCTTATTCAATTCCTGATAGAACTAAATACAACAAGTTTACTGGCACGTACTGTGTGTGTGCGTGTGTGTGTGTGTGTGTGGAGAGATGGAGATCAGCAGTAAGAGGATTAAGGTTTTAGAGTAGGACAGATTCAGGGTTTTATTCTGGAAAACATGAACCATGGCACCAAAAGAGGAAGCTTTTTGTTATTTTGTTTGTCATCTAACAGGGTTCACCTCTGTGTCAGTGTGTGCCTGGGTTTAAACTATGTGTGTCCTCTTGTTGTTCGTGTAGGAGCCATAAACTAAAATATGTGTGTTTGCAGGCGGGTTGAAGAGGTAGTGAGGTACCCGGGCTTGCCTCCGCGCCGGCAGCTGACGTATCAGGCCAAGCAAACCATCAGCAGAGAGATGGAGCAAGAGAAGATGAGAAGAGCCGAGCAACTGATGCTGCAACGAAACCCTGTAGTGGTGAGACTTCAAATACGCAGCACGTTGTACACGACAGATTGTGGGGTTGTTATATACAGTGCAGCCTGTAGATAATCAGGTCACTGTGTGTGTGTGCGTGTGTTAATAATCTAATGTATTTGTAATCTGTGTCTGTGTCTGTGTGATGCAGAAAGAAAAAGAAGAAAAAAAGATTGCTGGTCCCAAACCAACGAGGAACCATCAGCAGAGGCTGGAGAACATTGTCAAACAGACCACAGTGGAGACCAGGGTGAGACACACAAACACTCGCTTTTATATACAAATACAAATAACTTTATTGTCCACAACGTTGAGATTTCTCTTCGGTTTCACCATAAGCCTACAAATCAGTATCCTAGTCTACCACATCCTACTTTTATTTATTACTTAGAAGGGCATTACTTTGCTATAACCATTAGAGTTGTTCCAATACCAGTATCAGAGATTCCTCCCATACTGCCTAAAATGTGGTATTAGGTATCACTGAGTATGTGTGTCTGTGCACCGATACAATACCATGTGATTTATTAGCCCCCTAACAACACCCAGGCACTTCCCAGCAATGTTCTGTTTACCTTTATTTTCCCGGGATAGCAAAGTGAAGACCCACCCTACTCTCACTGTGACAAAGGGCTTAACCTGAGAGCCAGACCATAAAACAAGGATAGGTCACATGGGCTGAGTAGTATATGCTTATAAAATGCTATCAGGGAAAAATCTCTAGTTACCATAAACAAACAAATCTGATGGTGTACCTTGTAGGGAGAAGCTTTTTATCCCCACACGGGGAAGTGAATCTCCATAATGTGACAGAGTTTTGGTCCCACAAGATTATTTATACAAGTACAAACCAACCTGTGGTCTGAGCTCAATATGAGAGATGGGTCAGCAACACTAACTGACACCTGCAAGGAGAGATGTGCTCTGCTGCTCAAGAAGTATTTTCAGTCTTATGACCTCCTACTTTTTCTGCAAAGTACTAAAAGATTTTTTTATTGTTTATTTATTTAAAGAATCCCATTAAGAGTATATTATGGGCCTCTAGTCTTCCTCAAAAATACAGTACAAACATGCAATAGGATGACTAGAAGATGAGTTTTTAGAGGCATTTGTGTTCATTCTTTGGTTATTTGAGAACCTCATTAACTGGAGAAGCAGCATCCTCTGTCTACCAGTATTGTATGTGTTAGTGGATGCCTGTAGGTGGAGCCAGAGAGGAGCAGCTGCCATGTGTTTGCACTGAACATCAGAGTCTCTCTGGATGAGCTGCAGCCTTATAATAGTTCAGCCACAGAGTGATAGAGAGAGTAAGCCTCTAGAGGGCAGAAAAGAGGATAATGAGAAGCCACTGGGTTATTGTCCCTAATGGTGAAACTGGGAAATGAGGCTAATGAGAGTTGTGTGTGCATTCATGTGATTGTTCATTGTTCATTGACCTGGTTGTCGAGGACAGTGTTTTAGAAACTTACTGATTTAACTTCATCCCTGTCGTCACTCTGTGTTTGTGTCGTGCAGCCGGAGGTGGATTTCTTCGGTCGAGCTGTTGCCCCCAAACCTCAGAGACTGCAGACGTCCTCAGACACAGGTACTGTGTGACATTAGTGTAGCTTCATTTATCCAAACACTTTCGAGAACACGGGCTGTGTAGGGGAAAATGCCTCAAGGCACATCAGGTCCAAACACACCACAGGTGATCACTGATGTGTGTTATATAACGCTTCTGATTTAGAGCTCTTGTGGCAGACTGCAGGCAGCAGATCTGGACTGTCAACAGCACAGCCGCCTGCATAATGTTGGTAATATCATATTTCTATTAGCAACATAAAGGACTAGACATCTACAGCCTCCTTCCTATAGTTGGACACAATCCAAATAGAATAAACAGTATACATATTTAATTTATTTAATGTTTAATCCTGCCTAAATTACTAGGTTTGCCACATTTCAAGTCCTGTAGTCAGTGTAGCTCCAGAAACCCTATAAAGGTTTGGAGAGAGGTTACTGTGGTTTGCCTGCCAGTCGCTTTGTGTCACTGGAAACAAACCTGACTGCTGTGTTCACGCCAAAAATAGCACATTAGCATAAACAATAGGGGTCTTGAACAGAGTTGAGTAGCTTGTTCTCTCTCATCCAACATGGCCACCTGGGATAAATATTTTCAAAATAGTGTTTCCACTTTGCATACAGCTTTTGGAAAAGCATATTACTGTTCCTCTGTGGCCTCTTTTAATATCCACTAAAAGACCCAGATATTCAGCGAAAGGCTTCTGTTATTGAGCATCGGTAGCGGCTGTACAGTACATTTTTATTCAAATCAAACAATTCAAACAAAGATTCATCGTTTAGTAGTCGTGGCAATTAAACACAGACCTATTAAAATCACTAACCTTCCTGAAAGCACTGCATTCCCCAAATTGATCAACGGTGTAATCAGGCTGGAAACGCAGAGCTGTGGCTGTTTTTAGGTCAGCAACAGGATTCTGCGGACTAAAACAGCTCCAAAATCCCACGTCCTGATTACCTTGATTACCTGTGGCTCGGATTCACCAAATTTGCAACGTGAGATCATTTTGCTGTTCCTGTTCATTTTTACATGTTTTGTTAAACAAAACAAACACCATATTTGCATGAGCGTGCGAGAGCCCTGTAGGGCACACTGAGTCTCACTGACAGTTTCATAGATATGTATCTGTAGTTCATGTGGTCAAAATGACTCAATTAACGTCACCCACACTCTCACTGCTGAATGAAGGCTGTGTTATAAGTACGGCTCCATTTAGTCTTTAAAATGTCAGATAATGGGGGTTATTCAGGTGTGAACATTTGCAGCACTCTCATCTGAAGTACTTCATTTTATCACTTTCATTTATTAAACTAGAGCAGAATCAATTAGTTGATTAAATTATTCAGTAACGATTTTGGATAATCATTTAAAAAAATGCCAGAAACTGATTATTTGCTGGTTGTCTTTCTCTGCTATGAAAATAAACTGAATATTTGTGGGTTTAAGAGAAAAACAGTAAGTTTGAAGGTGATGACATTAAGCTCTTTCATGTTTCAAGTTCATCAAGAAAACAAAACAAAAATGATAATGGGTAGTTGAAGCCGTAGATCAACCCATTACTTTACTTTCCGGTCAGTTAACTATTAGATGAATTAGTCATGAGATCACTCGAGAGGAGCTCTAACAGCCTGTAAGTGCCTCCTCTTTTGATCAGCCCTGTAGTGTCTTTTTAAAAAAAAATGCTCTTTCCCTCTCTCTGTAGGTGAGAAGTGTCCGGTTCTTTCTATGGGAACAGCAGTGGGCAACAGTGACGTGTGGTTTCGGTTCAACGAGGGCATGTCCAACGCTGTCAGAAGAAATGTCTACATCAGAGAACTACTGTAACCCCCCCCCCCCACACACACACACACACACACACACACACACACACACACACATAATTCTTTGTGTTATATGTATATATATATAAAACATCTGAATAAATCCCCAAATCCAGCTGTTAAATTCAAAACAGTCTTTATTTTGATTGACAGTGTAAAGAGCCAATAAAAACGTGTTGTTGAACATTTCTCAGCAGTCCATCAAAACAGACGTCTAGAAAGCTACTCAGTGCTGTACACTCACACACACACAGTAGTCTTCACATAAATTAAAAGCATTCAGGAGTCTCCCAATAAATAAACATGATAATAGCAATAATATGAGTGAGAGTGTGTGTGTGTGTGAGAGTGAGAGTAAATGAGTGAGTTAGTGCAGCGTGACTTTGAGTGTGGGAGTGCATGATTCTTTAGTTTATATGCATCCGTGATTGTGTGTGTGTGTGTGTGTGTGTGAGACTCAGGCTACCTTCAGGGACATATTTCAGACTACAGACCAGTTAATTGGGGACGGCTTCTCCAATCGGGGACAAAAGACGTGTCCCCACTTTGGAAAAAAAGGTTAAGATTAGGGTTCGGCTATTGGTGGTTTTCCTATGGTTCATCTCGAGGAAATAAATGGATAATGAAAGTCTATGTAATGCCCCCAAAAGTGACATAAGTAAACATATGTATGTGTGTGCGTGCGTGCGCGCGTGTGTGTGTGTCTGTGTGTGACCATTAGAGGATCACACACTTGCCCTTCTCCACCCAGGGGTTGGCTCTCATCAGCTCCGGGTTCAGAAATGGATCTTCACAAACACAACCCTCAATCCACTTCACCAGTCTACAGACAGAAAAAAACACTCACCATCAGCACAAGTATACTAAAAATACTTATATGTGTGTGTGTGTGTGTGTGTGTGTGTGTGTGTGTGTGTGTATACACAGTACACACTCACTCAGTAACGGTGATGGAGGATTTCTCTCTGTTGATTGCCAGCTGATATTGAAGGCTTTCCACTTCTCTCCTCATCTGTGGAACGTCTAACTCCTCCATGATGCTACTGCTGTTCACACACACACACAGAGGGGAAAAGAAACACACAACAGACTGAAGCTCGAGTAGATTACACAAGTTCAGACACACAGATGTCGCATCAAAACTCAAGTGGAGTAAAAAAATAAATAAAATGAACCAAATGTTTTGTTGTAAGAGAGCCAGTGAAGTTCAGCTACAGTTCAGTCTTGTATTAAAAAAAATCTAATTCTGCTTTCACATGAGCAAATATCTGAAGTTGTACAGTGAACAGAGCGAAATAAACTGTAATTATGTGTTTATTGTACAATGAGGATGTCACTGTCTTACTGGTTTCTAACCTTTTTTTGAACGAAAAGCAACATACCAGAGTTTGTCTTCCCTTTATTGGAATATTTTTTAGAAAAAAGAGGAAAGTAGGTATAAAAAAAGCTTACATGTTTATTTTTTTGTGCCTTTTTAAAAAACATTGTGATAGTCCAGCTTAAGATGGACAAGAAAGGAGGCGCCCTGGTAGAGCTGGTGCCCCATGAACCAAAGCTGCGTCCTTGCTGCAGCGGCCGTGGGTTCGACTCTGTGGTCCTTTGCCTACTCTCACCCCCCCCCCCCTCTCATTTCCTGTCACTGTCTACTGAATACTATATATTAAAGGTTATAAAAGCCCCAAAATATATGTATATAAAAAAATAAAATGGATGGTCAAGAAAGTGGGAGAGAGAGAGGGCTAATAGAGCTGGATTCAAACCGGGGCCGCTGCAGTCAGGACTCAGAGTGAGCTACCAGGACGACCCTGAAAAAAACATCTGTGATTATGTGAAGCAGAAATATGTTTCAAGTCATCCTCTGACCCCATTGGTGGGAAGCACTAATCTGTCTGTTAGCTTTATTACAATATCTGATTTTTTTTAAAAAAGCCTTTGGGGAGCTTCACTGAACCGCAGAGGAAGTGGTTAATAGGACGTAGGCATATTGATGTTGTTGACCCATTTATTGAGACCATATGCCAAATAGTATTTTTCCAATAAAGCATCTTGTGTATGAGTGCTTCTGCTAGTGAAGGACATTCTCTTGTTTGAACCTTAAACTTTAAAGTAGAAGTAGAAACAGCTCAGTGTAGAAGTGCTCTAGTTTGTGAGTTTCTTACTGCCAGAAAATCCCACAAAAAAAAAAAAGACCAAAACCAAAAACATATTACTCCGTCTCTTCATACTTTCCAGCTTCCCTCCCCTGTCTGTCGCTCTCACCCCCCTTATTGGTTAGTACTGACGACGTAAATCAGTAAAAATCAGGTCACATATATATAGTTTCATATTTAAAAATAGGCTCAGTAATTCCATAACCAGGCACTGCAGCCTTCATCAAATGTTACTCAAACAATAATGAACAGTACTTTTGTTAGGGGACTATTTTCACCGGCGGATTATCACACATCTGAGTGTTTGAGGCAGCGTGGTCGGTGTATGTGGGATCAACTCAAAATTAACTACAATGTGTATTCATGGTAATAAAGGAAGTTGTCAGCCACGGTAACAGCGTGGCTTTGATGTGTTTTATTCCTCTGAGCTGTCTCAACATTTGTTAAAAGGATCAATTCATAGCTGGTTTTTGGTATTTTCATGGGATTTGTTAATGAAATAAAGGAATATACTTATAAATCATAAAAATATTCTTAAAGTAAAGTAAAAGTGTAGAAGAATTTAAGCAGGAAAATGTCCTTAACCACCAATAGTAGAAGTACTTAATGTGTTAGATATTAATATTTTGACAGCAGCACGTCAGTGGTTGTAACAGGTCCCGTTGGTACAAATGTGAGGCTGCTTTTATTAGTTTTATCTACAGCAGTGAACCCTGTTTCAAGAGATTATAATGTTTCATACTGTATATAAAGTACTTACATGTTTATAAGTACCAGTAAAACAGTTGGACTGAATTACACAGAGAGGAGATTTTGTTAATTGAACAAAACGATTGTAGAGTTGAATCAACACCTCTCTAAAACAGTTTAAAACAGCCATAATAACCTTCATGAAGATATGATTTACTGCAGGACTGTTTGATCAAGTGAAAATAATAAGTTGCACCAAATAGAAAAAAAAACCTTTCATAGTAAAAACCTGGAAGTTCGTTCAACTTAAACTGTTTGAGGAAACCAATGAAACAGTTTAAATGTATTAACTCCAACAATTGAAGCATGAATGAATCTTTGATTTGAGTATCTCGTTTATTGTCGAGGTAAATTAAGTTAATTGTACTTAAAACTAGTGAGTGTATTACACTCGAATGCAGCATTTCTCCAAACGTATTTAACGTGTGTTAACAGAATTTATCTGAAGACAAACTTTAATGCATCTTTATACAAATGTTTCTCTTCCACTAAAGCAAATTGTTACATTACCTGTCAGATCAGCTGACGTATGATTAAAAAAAACCCATTTTATTATAAAATATAAAGTCAACTTTTAAAGAAAACAAGTCGACAGCTCAAACTGGAATTTTATAATCAAATAGTTAAAATACTCCACAAATGAGTTATTGGTTCATTTTTGATTTTGGGTTTAATGTATGGGAATTTATGTGTTCGCTCACTTCTTTTATGAAGATATTAGGATTTACAGTGTAAAATCAAGTTGCAGCATAACACTAAAGTACAATTTGAAGGTATTTATACTCAACTTCAGTACAGTTCAACTTCTCAGAGTCTCTTTACATTTCCGGCTCTTTAAAATAAAAAAATAAAATAACCCTGGAGTGATCCAACAAAGTGCCCCGGCTGCTTTTACTGTCTTATATTTGTACTTATTGTAAAGTCTGCCCCACCCTGCCACAGGCCACATTACAGCAGAGAGAGAGAGAGAGAGAGAGAGAGAGAGAGAGAGAGAGAGAGAGAGAGAGAGAGAGAGAGAGAGAGAGAGAGAGAGAGCCCAGATGAGAGTTCAGACCGACCATGGATCAGTTAAGTCCTCCCTATTGGAAACTGTCTCTCCCTCCTCCTCCTCCTCCTCTCACCCTCTTCATCTTTTTTTAATGGATCTAAGTAAGTCGGCTGCCCGGTTTCCTCCACCAGCATCCATCCTGCAGCAGCCAGCTGTTCCACGATGAAGAAGGGAGGCCTTCATCATTTAATTATAAATCTGCTCCTAATGTGTTACAGTGGCAGCAGTCTCCATCACTCAGCAGCTATTTAAAGGCAGATCCTCACACATCCACCCTGAATTAACTCGCTTTTCAAACACATCAACAGCAGTGAGTGTATGTGTGTGTGTGTGTGTGTGTGTGAGGATAAAGACGAGTATAGATGCTATCACAGTGTGTCTAAAAAAAACAGGAGGTCAAACGCAGATGTATCGTGATTATTATATGTGGATGGAAACAAACAAACACAGATACACACAAACAACAGCCGCTCTTACCGTCGGGGCCCACCGGAGATAGACCGCTGGTCGATTTAATGTGCAGCCGAGCTGATGGAGGATGCAGGCGACAATAACAGCTGAGAGTCGGTGCAGTTTCCCCGGCAGAGGAGTCCGGCTTCAGTGCAGGCAGGAGGAAGAGGAAGAGGAAGAAGAAGAAGGAGGAGGTGGCTGTATGTGTGTGTCGGCTGTCCGCGGTGCAGGGCACTCCCCTGCGCTCCTCTCCGGTAGCGACTGGATGCGGGATGCGCAGGGCGGAGAAAACGAGCCCCCCCCCCCCACTCAGCCGCCTGGTTTTGACTGTCAAACGAGGTCTGGAGTCGAGGACGGATCCTGTATGGAAATCTGGACACGCAAAAAAAACCACGCAAATGAGGACGCTCCGGAGGGAAAACAAGCCGGGGGAGTTCATGTTTTTATTCAGTCGACCGGAGATGAGGTCGGTTTGTGTGTTAGGATGAAAGTAAAAAGGAGAAATTTGAGGTTGAAAACACAAAATATGTTCGTTTTTTTTTTTTTTCTTGGGTTAATAAGTCACAAAAAACCATCTGAGATGAGGATTTATCATCTTATATGTTTATATATTTATTATCTGTCTTATAAGAAATAAGAATTGACCAATACAGATACTGATTATTAGTGATCAAGCAGACTGATATACATTACAATAAAGTTTAATATCTTCAGTCCAAATTTAGAAGCAGCGGAGTTTAAATAAGCACATTTTGCTACTAAAGTACCACAAAAGCACAATTATGCATGATTTATTAACTTCCACTTCATTACATTTTCGAGGTACATATTGTTCTACCACACTAAGATTCACATTCATATAAAATATGAATTAACTAATAAATAATGTATTATTATAGATTAAACTACCCAGTAGTATAAAGTATTCAAGATGAGCTCCATCTTTACCAGCTGCAACATTTAAGGATTACTCAATATCAGCCATTAAAAACTATGTCAACAAGGAAAAAAATGGAATTGGAACAAGTCTAAGTTACTGTATTATTTCCGATATGTCAGGTCTGATCGGTTCTGTACTGCTTTTAAACCCATTCAAAGACACCGGTGACCCAAACGTCGACATAAGGCTCCATATAAAGCTATAAATGTTCATTTTAATCCAGTAAGAAAACATTTCAGAACACCTTTTGAGCTTCAAGCTGTGATCACACATCTAAAAATGGGGAAGAATGAATCTACCTCGTGTCCATCTAACAGGTGAACATTAACTCTGTCTCTGGTAAACTAATGCCAAATCAGCTGAAGACAAGCAGATTCATAGGCCTTTATAAATCTTTCCTGCCAAGAAAATTTACTTTATTAGTATGTTTGGGTTTCAATGTATCCTGAAAATGTACAGAAAAGTTCTCCATCATGGAAACAAAACCAAATATCCTGGAAAATGTCATCACTATAATCCATGTAAACCTGGGTGCAGATTTAAGAGCTGATATTACAAAAATGCAGCAATACAACAGTATGAAGGTTTCCCAGTAACATCACAGACATTCACAAAGAGTAAACTCAGTTACTGTTTATTAAAACAAATACCAGTTTACAGTTTGATGTAGGCAATAGCTTTATTATCCACACACATTGTGCATTTAAAAACTGTAGTTTCATGATTCAGGTTTGTTCCAGTCGCTCGACGGCAGCTGCAGTTTTCTGGCCCGTGACGACATTTGGATAAAAGCTTTAGGGAACCTGAAAGAGACACGCACAGGTCAGACTACAGTCGGTGTGACAAACAGAAAAATATGAGTCTTTGAACCCTCATAAGTTAAAATCAGGAGCAAGCAGCTTTCATACAAGGTGTCAGAAATTGTCATTAGCTAAACCACTTCTACTTACCAATAAAATAAAACCAGTCGTCATCGTCAGGATCTTGAATTTGAGTCTTAATCAACCTGTAAAAAGAGCTCAGTTTTAATTCACATAAGAAACTGAATGTGTATGTACATTTAATTTAAGAGCCTCAGAAGAAAGTTCGAATCAGGAGCTGGAGTTCAGCTCTCATAGTAGGTGTCAGAAAAGTTTATATTTTAGTTTGTCATCACCGGCTAGAAAGTTATTCAAATGCAAACATACTGCACGGACTCACCAGCTCTCAAACCCCTCGCTGGGTCCCAGACAAGAACCTCGATCTTCACACAGCCAGCTCTGAAGTTTTCAGCCTTCAGGAAAGTACAGATCAAAAAAAAAAAGTTAGGAAAAGTGATAATGTTGATTTTAAGAGTGGATTAATATAATGAAGCCTCAGAATAAAGTTCGAATCAGGAGCTGCAGTACAGCTCTCATAGTAGGTGTCAGAAAAGTTGATTTTGAGTCTGTCATCACCGGCTGTTTCATAATAATTCTCATTTCATAATAGTTTTAATGTGTGTGAACTCACTCAGAATTCATTCTCGGGTGTTGAGGGATCGAATTCAGGCAGCTCCCGGGGGTCTTCAGTCACCATCCATCCCTCAAGTCTCCCTCATTATGAGCTGTACCAGCTTCAACTGTACAGGGGAAAGAGGGGGATATTTAAAGCAAGTTGTTTTTGTTCATCTGTTTACCTTTAATGTATTAAAGTGTGTGTGTGGGGGAGTAGAACCTCATAAGGACTCTAAGTGTTACATTACACATGTATATAATTTACATTTTAATTCACATTTGCTCTTACCCAGTGAAAGACTTCTTTAAAAAGGCAGGTCATCTTGAGTTTCTTCATCTCAGTCGTCACACAAGTCATCATGGTGACGACTCCAGCGTGCCTCCATGTGACCTTTGATAAAAGAGGAAAAGCGAAACTCAGAAAAAAATAAGAAATCCATCTGAACCAGTTGTAATGTTAATAATAGCCATTTCAAAATGTAATTCACACAATGCAATACCATAGATATTAAACAGCATATATAGGTGGACCTCTGAGCTGTTTAAAGTTTAATTCAAGATTTCTTTATTATATCTCCTTACACAAAGTAAAAAAAACTTACAGTAACAAAAGACTTAATAAAAAACACGTACAGCATAGCTCCCAGCTGGCACCACGTGGTTGGCCCTTGCAGATCAGCCACGTGTTGCTGTTCAGACCAACATGGTGAAATTATAAATAAAATGTAAAACAATATAATACTCACTGGTTTGTGTAACTCCTCTCTGCTCAGCTTTCTTCATGCATCGGGTCATTTCTCTGCTGCTGTGAGGTAAAGTTTGAAGAAAAGACTGAAAGCAGAAACGAGTCTTCACCTCTGCCGCCATGCTGCCAGTAAAGAGAGCTAATGCACCAGAGGAGGGTCGTATTTATACGGCTTCCGTCCAACGCGGAACTCCCTCCCCTTTCTGGACTACAAGGCTGCACGAAGCCAGCTCACCACTGTCGTTGGAGAAATCGTTCTGGGACAATCTGGACATGTTATAATGCTTATCGGCCCAACATTGATATACTGGAGCACGCTATCTGAGCAACTACCCGCTTTAAGGACGATAAAACAACGATGCATTGAACAGCATCTCCCATGAGTCTTAGAGGCAGAAGCTGGGAGTTGTAGTTTTTGAATGCTAACGATATAATGGTCATTTTATGGAGGTTAAAATCATACTGTTAATGGTTAAAATGTTATTATCAGGCCTACTTTTGATCTGGAAATAGTTTTTATTAAGTTTTGTTTCAATAAAGGTAAGAACTTTATAAATACTGAGTTCAAAGTGCCCCAGCAGAAACCCTCCTCTAACCAAACCCTGTACAATTATCTCATGATTTAAGAAGCCATTAACTACATTTTTTTCAAGTGCACTTATTTAATTATCCAGTTATATTTTCTGTAAATTGAATCTCTGTACATTATACTTGTTATTTCACTGTCAGGTATGTTAATTATGAGGGAAAAAAAACATTTAATGTAATTGTTTTTGCCTAAAACTCTTAAAATTCTTATTTAAAATATTTAGTCTAAAAGTATCTGTTGGCCCATAAGACATAAGACACTTTATCTGTCATTGTAGGCTCAGTACAACGACATTTTGTTAACTCTCAGTGACCAGCAGATGAGTAAACAATAATCATAAATATGAAGAAGTATCTTTATATTTAAAGTAATAAAGACACTGTTTGCACAATGTAAACTCCTCATGTCATTTAACCTCCCAAAATCTCCCAGAAATATTGCAGATCGCATGACCCTGCTGTCTTTAATGGTAGCAACAGTTTGGGGGAAGACCCTTTCTTGTTTCAACTGGGCCAAAACCTTATCCTCCAACATGTTGTGGAAAGAGAAAGTGAGTATGAGTATCTAAAAGAACCACACTTAAAGAGTCGTGTAAGGTTTAATTTATACATTTATTCTGATCACAGCTGTACAGGAATGCATCGTCACAGCAGAAACACAACCTAAACCCAACCATGGCACAACAGCCGTCACAACACATCCAGAACTCAACCATAAATGTACAGGCTCAATCAGCTCACCTCACTTCAATGTCTATAATATCATCATCATCATTATTATTATTATTATAATTATTATTATTATTCTTCACATAGAACCATCTGTCTCTCAAATATATCTTTGTTTTCAAAGAGCATAAAAATACAAGTGGACTCTTCATTGGGATGAACACTGGTGGCTGATCCACTGTCTGGCCTACATGAGGGAGGGGGGGGGGACCACTGAAAACTGGGGAGCCGAGGAGGAGCGGAGCCAATTTATTACAGCTTACACGGGGGGGCTTATATAGGCTCGCACGAGGCTTCTCAATGGTTACAGGAGGAGTGCAGACAGGGTGATTGATTTTTAAGGGACTCACAACTCAACCTATAAGCTACTTTTGACATCACACACAAGGAGCGAGGGTTTGTAAGGAACCAGAGAACACACGTTAAACTTTGGAGGGGAAATCAAGAAAAGAAAAAAAAAGAGACAATATTTCGAATATATGAAAGAACACTACCAAGGCACAGAGAGATGCAGAGTTAACAAAACAGACAGAGGGAGATAAAAAGGGGGGTGAGACAAGATGGAAGGTGGGCAGATTGGAGGCAGTTTCACTAACCAACACTAGAGGGAGCTCTAACAGCTCAAATACCCAGGTATATTATAAACTCTATGTATATACTGGATGTACTATATAAAGCATTGAAATATAGGATTATCTTTTAAAAACACTGTTCACTTGCAGCAGGACAAAGGGATACACCGCATGAGTGTGCTTGTATATATGTGTCTTTGCATGTAAATGTGTGTATGTATATGTGTATGTGATTCATTTCCAAGCAAACCTCCATAGATGGAGCTAAACACCAACAAAGCAGAACACCAGCGAGATTACAACCAATGTAATGTGCATATCTGTGTGTGTGTGTGTGTGTGTGTGTTTGTGTGTTTGTGTCTCAAAATTCATGGACACACATCTATATCGTCGTTCTGATCATTAGAATAACTACTGTACGAGTGGGAGGACATTGACATGAGCATCAGCAGGGACTACACACGCTCGTAACGACAACAACGGCAACAATAACAACAACAGCAACAACAACAACATGAAAGAGAGACAACACACAGGTCAGGAAGTCCGGCTAGCCACAATCCTCCACTCACACAGAAGAGAAATAGAGGCTACGATTCATCTGGAAAAATGCATCCTTTTGACATCGCAGGACTGAGACAGACTCAGAAAGCGGCCTGTCGTTTTTTCGTGTGCTTTTTAAAAATTCTCTCCGGTGTCTCATCTGTATGCATCTTGTCTATCTATCTAGCTATCTATCTATCTGCCTGTCTGTCAGTCAGTTTATGTGCTTATTTTTGCTTAAGCAATATGCTTATCTGTCTGTCTCCCTGTCTGACTGAGTTAGGATCTCTGTCCTATTCAGAGTCTGTAGAGATAAAAGGATGAGGAAAAATGATTGTGCTTCTCGATCCACACAGCCATCTGAGGCTGGGCGGCGGCGGCGGCGGCTCGCCTGGCTGCAGAGGTCAGAGGTTGTGTGGGAGCGGCCTCCTCGCATCCGGAGGCGTACTAGAGCTACTGCACCAGACGAAGAGGACTCCCTCCTCAGTATACTGGTCAAGGCTACATGAGAAGCGCTCACGCAAGGAGGGACACACGCTCAAAACACGCACACACACACTCTCTCAGAGCGCCAGCATCGAGCCTTGGGAGAGTTTTCTTGATACACCTACGCATGATGGGGGAGAAAAAGGGAGAGGGCTTGTTGGAAATGAGACGTGGGCAGCAGATCAGTCCAGCATCGCATCCAGTTGGTCTGCCAAGTCGTCAAACATGCTGCCGATGTCATCCAAGATGGAGACTGTTGACTTTTTACTGGAAAGAGAGCTGGAAGTTGGATAGCAAAAAAAGAAAGAAGAGTTAGTTGATTGTGAGGCACGGCACAGTCAGAGGAGTGGATTAGAGATGTGAAATGGAGGCTGGAACTGGTTTAGAGTGCTTGGATCTCTCAACGTTGGTTATCAGAGTGGTATTTCTCTTTAAATGATAACTGCAATGTTCGTCAACATAGATACACAATAATCTCCTGGATCATTTAACAGTACAAAAGTAAAAACGGACATATCATCTCCCTCTAAGTTAATGTGTTGTTAACAAGCAGTTGCTTAATTACACATCCAGCAGACAAAGAGCAGCGTTACCATTAATTTCAAGTCGTCTTTCGGGCCTCCTTTTAGCTCTGTTCTTGTCAGTACCAACTCCTTTAGCTGCTTAATGCTCCACTATGTTCAGGTTGTTGCTAACTTTTGGGCAGGTGAGCGTGAGCAAAAAATATGTAAGTGAAAATGAAATTAAACTTGCTATGAAGCTCCATAAAGTTGAGGGGAGCCGCAGATGGAGGTGATAAGTCTCAGTAGGTTTATCACTAGGGCGACTCCTTTCTTATTGTCATTTGATACGTTGTTGTAAAAATATAAATTATAGACACTTTAAAGTCATGATCCACAAAATGTTCATGAAATCAAACTCAAACCTCGTTTTTGATACTATTTATGGTCTGCATCTTTTCTGCAATAGCCTTTAACTGTATTTCCATTCAGTGATTATCAGTATAGATTGTAGTTGTAGAGG